CATCACTTGCTTTGCTCAACAATTTACTATTAAGTATAATTTCTGACATACTCCAGGAGCAATGTTTCATATATACTAAAACAACATTGCTTATAAATTAACAATCAGCTGATGAAAGATTGAAAATCATAACAGCTTAGTAGAAGTTCATGATAGGCTGTGTTTTGCTACATATTTTTGAACAATTTGTGATGTTCCAATAATATTTTAAAATGTGAAATGTTGTAACCCATCACATGTACATGATCTGTTAAGGACTGTATAAAATTTAAATAATTGACTGAAATCTTAGTATTGCATTTGATCAACCTTGATAAAACACATTAACTGTGGATAAACCTACCATTGCAATGTGTATGACTGCTATGCAAATTAACATGGCAACCTAAAGATTATGCATGTTTGTTCATATTGATATTTTCCTTAATGGACAGACTTGAGAGACAATAAATGCCTAAACATTCGCACAGGCTGCGAACGCATAACCCATTAACCTCTTATCACCAGGTAATTTGTTAATAAAATGTTGAGATTACTCCCAACATGGTCATAGGGTATAGTCTATAGGCCGGCTATTGAATTCAACTGCACGATATTTAGTCACTCACCGAAGAGGTCACTTACGCACAAACAGTATATGCGTTTTCGGTTTTGAACAATAAAAAATCCTTGAAATACGGTTAATATTCGTTATCATTTTACACGTATTAGCGAACATAAGGTGCTGTGGAAATCCGCGCCATGCAATCTCATTTCTATTTCGCGCATTTTCTTCATCAGACTTCGTGGGAATCGTAGCATACAAATACTCGCCGGCATGCTCTTTAACTGCGACCAGAGTTTCCAGACTTTACCAAGCCCTTGGCATCCTTCACTCTCTTCCCTTATTTATAAGCGCCAAAAAAGATTTCTTACAGCCACAAACGCACGATCTCCTCGTTCAATGTTTATTAAACTCGAAAGCGCGCTTTTTGGTTTTTGCGCCAAATTATTTATAAAATTCCACTTCAATTTTTCAGCATTCAAAATAAAGTTTAAAAATGTCAGCTGATGAATTTATTTTGTGGAAACACGGATTAAGTGAGAAGTGAGATATTCCAAGTGTGAATATTGGTCAGAATACGCGGCATATTCACGGCGTATTCACACTTAGAATACTGAAGAATACGATGCCGTATTCACACTAATATTCCATGTCGGAATACGCTTGCAATATGTGTTTTATTCACACCCGTATTCACATGTGAATACCTTGGAATACGGCGCTTTTCATGCAGTGTTGTATCGTAATAACGACAATTTAGAAAGCCTCAAACTTGCCTTTTGAATTTTATTCTACCCAATACGATGAGCAAACAAGTATGTATATTATACCGTATATATATGGAAACATTAAATCAAGATCAAGATAAACCGGCTAACAGCCAATTTTTGTAGTATAATTTTGTGCTTATTATACCAATTTCTTTTTCAAGGAATATTGGAACAACTCAAGAAACACATCGTTTTAACAAGAATAAGATTTCGAAAGCTTCTGCCGAATTCAAAGTGTTGGAATACTCATTGCATTTTAAATCGACAAACAAACTAGAGTATTCCAGGCGGTTATTGTAGAAAGACCGAGCGTGATGACTTGACAATATCATACGTTGACTAATGTAACATCTATAAGATCGTATTTACGAATGTATTTTTGCGGCGCAGAAATGATCTTTGCTGACTGTGCATTGGAATTCGTCTTACTAAAAAATGAACATCGAGCATGCATTTTTTATTTTATCGTGCAAAGAGTGAGTGAGTTAAAGTGAGCATATAAAAATAGTGCATAGTTAATCGGGATAACATTATTAATATATATTTAACCAGGATACCCACATCATCTAACTTATACGATGTAGCTTTACCCTTGCTTGCTCTCTTATATAGCCTCAACCCAATATAAATTTAGCTGGCGAAATGGTATAATAATAAATTATGAAATAGCCTTAAAGTAATGTCGTTATTACCGTTTTCACAGCGTTCTCCTTCAAAACATTTCAAACACCGACATGAAAACTGTCTTGCTATTTGCCAAGTCATTGTCCCGCCATTATGACATTCATTAACTTCTCCCCTGCAGTTGGCCTTCGGAATTGTAATAAGAAAGTATTTTAATAAACTTTCATATCAAGTATATTAAGAAAGCAATATGATTGCAACTTGCTTTAATATTCAACGAATAAAAATCATTATAATTTTATGAATAAAATCTTATGATCTGTTTTATAATGCCCGTTTAAGAGATATGGACAGGGTAAAAATTTGCCGTATCGATAATTATTACCTCGTGTCAAAAATTTGGCATGACAGATAGATGCGGTAATGTAGAAAAAACATTTGTTGCAATATAGAATCTAACCATTAAACTAGATTGAAATGACAGCGAGATATTATAAATTCTTACAAAGTGACTCCGATCCACTTTAACTTCGTGAAACGTCCAGACTTGTTCTTCCCTTGTTTCGTGGCGTTCGTTGAATTTATGCTCAGTTGTGTTGGTAAGCTGACAGTTTAATTCATTTCCCAGCGTTTTCTCCTTGTAACTAAATGCGACACAAAAACGATTTTCTGCGCATCGAAGTTCACAAAACAAATCCATTTCTTCTGTAAATTCACCAATAACATTGTTCCTCAAGCGTGATCCTAGAACACATGTTACGATAGCAAAAATTAAGAGAGAAGTTATTAAAAAAACCCTAACTATAAGGAAGTCCTCAGTTATTTTGTTGGAAACATGCTCCATATCCTATGATCTTATTTTTCGTTTCACATTTCAGGACTATAATGTGAGAAAAACCCACAGAAAACGTTTCAATATTTTGGCAAAACTGTAATCGTCATAATCTAGTTTCGTTTAAGTTAGATAATTTAGTTCGCAAAACTAAAAGTCAGTTACACAAAATGTCTATAAAATACTAAAGAGGCCTCTTAATAACGCTTTAAAAATTTCGTAAAGGGTATTGTGGCTTACCATGATGAACTGCAGGATTTTGCGGAACATTGAGACATACGAATTGTTGCTGCCATAAAATTAACGATTGGAGAAACATTCTGATTTGAAAAAAGCTCTTCATTTTTGCATTGAGATTGATTTCCTTTTGTGTTTACAGAATGTAAGTACATGCAAAGTTGTTTTTATAAAACACTGATGCAGCTGTATGTCCCTTGTTGGAGGAAGGAATAATCAAAATGCAATATGCCGGTTAATAAATATAATGTTTAAAAATTAATGATGATAAAATGTAATAAAAATTATATGGTAGCTATACTATTGCGTGAGCATATTATAAAACCGCACGAGAGGAGGTGTTTCCACCTGCTCCTTGCCATCCGATTTCGATCAGCATTAATGAAATACACTATAGAAGTTCTCTTCATAAATGTGGCAGTGCGCACGTACGTGTGGCTTCGTCCGGTCACAGTACATATAGATAGATAGGTAGATAATTATATTTTGATACGCTACCCATATAAATAAAGCTATACTGATTCCCACAAAGGGTGTGTCCTCAATATTGACTAATAATAGCATAAAACTTATTAAAATTCCCGGACAAACGATACAGTTTATCTCAGGAAGAACACAAGAAATAAAATAAATAAATAGATATTCAATCTTAAAGAAAGCAAGTTTATGTCATTAATTACAGCCATAAAATTCAACTCTTATCGAAATATGTTGATTCCAAGCCGTCGGATGGACGCGAATGAACCGAGCAGAAATATGGGGAGTAATCATATGACGGACAATAGAATTTTTGTCGTTGTTTCCTTGGAATTCCTGTAAAATAAATAAGACGTCACATATAATATCGATTATATATTTTTTTGCACCACTAGGGGCTTCTAGGATAAATGTCTCCCAGATATCAACTATTCATTGATAGCCTCTTATTGTCTGGTAAACGATTTGACAAGCAACTAATATGGACCACTTATATATATGACTGAAAGAAGACTCTAGATCTACCTGTATATAATTAATGGCGTAGGTGCAATTACTAGAATAAGAAAGTTGCATTAGAAAGTATATACGTGACTAAAAACGCACTAAAAATGGTGCGAACTTGCAAGTTCAATTCACAGCCGATATGTAGAGTACAAGGCACCTAGTCTTAGAAGCAAAAAGATTTAGCCCAGTATCCTGACTTCAAAATCAAACCACAAATTGAAACGGTGTTTTAGAGCATATTATAATTAGAGTAGATTTTCCAAATAGAATACTATATACACGCAGCATGAATATGACACCTTTTCACTATTTCGGCAACAGTTTTATTCGTTACTTTTATCCAAATTTAGAGCAAATAATTAAGCAAAGTTGTGCAGGACTCGTCCTTGATGAAAATGATCTCGCCAATAATAATCTATTGCTTCTTCCTTTGCCACTGATCATAATAGTGTTAAAATTATACAAACAGTTTTTTAAAAGGTTGCTTTGTGGTTGAGGTAAATTAGCTTGTAGGTACACCACTTAAGTATTTAATACTTAAATAAAGCTTTTGGTCCGTTAACCCGTCATCAGTGCAATGCCTTTCGGCCACTGAGCTATAGCTCAGTGCTTTCGGCCCTTGGTTGTGATGGTAAGCCAATAAAACCACCACTATATATATAGCTAAATTGCTCACCAAAAAGAGCTTGTAACCGACGGAATCGCTGCAAGCATCTTGGCCCAAAAGCTTTTGCAGTATTAAATACTTATACGTGTACCTACAAACTAATTTACTTATTTGACATCACCACCATTCAAACATGCAAGAATATATTTTTGTGGTTGAATTTGAAATTCCGAATCGATTCAAGTGTGTCTTTTTACATTTCTGAACCGAGAAATGTATAGTTGGCGTAGCCAACCTATGTAAATTTGTTGCTACCATTCTTGTCTTTAAAAATTTTTTGTTTTCACAGTCAATTAACACCAAAATATTAGCATAGCAGGGCAAATCGCCAGGCCGGGTGCGCTACTGATCTAGAGAAGCACCAGCTTCCAGGCGGGCACTCAACACTCTTGGTTGATAAAAAGGAAGCTAAAATATGTATATTTAGTATAATTTCAGTATTGAAAAATGACCTTTGAGCATTCTGATTGGCTCCTTCAGCAGTAACTATGAGGCAATAGTTACTGCTCAGAGCAGTCTGAGCAGTAATTATTGCTTTTCCCCCAAAAAACATGGCTGAAAATACTCAAAATCGTTTTGGAAAAATTTCGGAAGTAGAAATTGAGAACATAAATCAGTTGTATTTAAAAATAAAACTTTTTCAATACTGAAATTATACTAAAACAATTAGTCGCCTCAGGCTCGGTGATTACAAGCCTATATTCACTTCGCCTTCGGCTCAGTGAATATAGGGTTGTAATCACCTCGCCTTCGGCGACTAATTGTTAAATAGGGACGGTTTGGTGGCAGGGCACACGGTTCCTACGACCCTGCAACATCAACTAATTCAAATAGGTGAGCGCAGATTTTGTATGAATGCATTTGTATAACAACGTGCAGCTAGTGGATATAGATTAGTACCTTGACTGCTTCTTCTTGTTTATAGAATTGAAAAGTTTCCCCATCTTTGCTCGAAGAGATGGTGTATCTCTTAACAAACTGATTAACATTAAAATGATTGCGTCCTTGGGTACCTATTCCTGTGATTAGAGTAATTATTTTAAGATCAACTTGAAGCCATTGATGAATATTACTCTTCAAAGATGACCATGCGCAAGATCTTCCACTGCTCGGGCAGAAATTTAATCTTCCATTCGCCACACGATGAAAACTATTGTATTCGCTTGATGCCGTGATTTGGTTATCACGAATATCACCATTTTCCATCCCAAGAGCTCTATTAGGCACTAATCAGAAAATTATGTTATTAAAAAGCAGCCAAATGTTTTTTACCTATTTTTTTCATCTTTTAGAAATGTGATTGATGATTATTAAAAATCCTGACATCTGGTTGCTCGAGCGACCTAGGATTATTACGCGATAATCACCTAAGCGGATATTTCAAGGTGACAGATGAAGAAAGGCATTATTTTAACGAAAGCACAAAAAAGGGAAAAAAAATAAGCCTAAAATCATATTCAAGGTAAAAAAACTACATTGAACTTTATTTTGCGAAAACATTATTTCATCTGTTTGAATCGCTCTAAAATGTGTCTGTTTACGTATTGTAATTATACTAAAACAATTATTCACCCCAGTCTCTGTGAATATATCCAGTGGCGTAGCCAGCAACGATAATTGGGGGGCGCATATTCATATATTCATGTTAACAGACTGTAAAGACAATTGATTTGAAAAGAAATTAATCCTGCGTATCACGAATATATGAATATGTGCCCCCCAATTATCGTGCTGACTACGCGACTGAATATATCGCTGTTTTAATACCGAGACGAAATAATCGTTGTTAAATGGTGTTAAAATATAAGAGTAATATAATTAAATCTGTTTTAACACCAACATTATTTATTTGCTTTATCAGGCTTGAGTCTTCTCGACAAGGTAATATCAAATATACTCACTGTCGCTGTGAACAAGGCGGAATTTCGTTTTAAGCTAATCGGCATATTTGTTTACATATTTTACGCAATGCTAATCAGAATGCCTTGATTTTTAAAACCTCATCTAAAATAGTAAATAATGTACCTTTTTACCGGAAGTAGTCAAACTTTATGCCCTCTGATTGAGTTACTGAAAATGTAAATAAATTTACTGAAACGAAATTCCCCCTCTTTGTTTGTGTGAATAACGTCTTATTATAATTATATGCAAGGTTATCTCAAAAAACTATTGAACTAGCTTATACTATATAATTATATTAAAGTGCCTATATCACTTGTGGGATCTTTACGGATTTGAATAGGGCTTAATTGAAGAAATTGTTTATAAGTTCTACAACCTTTTTTGATATAATTAAATAGTTTCGAAAATACGTCGGTTGGGGGGAATGATTTGCAAACACGCTGTCTTTTATAATGTAAACATGACGAGTTTCACTGGCGATATAGTTTGCGCTTTTCAAGAAAAAAATGCGGGAACGGTGCGTTGTGTATGGTTGTAGCAACTGGGCGAGTTTTTCTCAAAATATTTTACGTTATTGGAAGATCGAAGTAAGATTACAATTGATTATATTATGTTTGACAACAGCTGGGCATTTTGTTGTCGCTGTCTAAAAATTGCGGGCGCATTTTTTCAAGAAGAATTTTAATTCTTCGAACGCCAAAAACATGTATTTTGAGGAGCTTTTTCTCCTTTTCTACTGGTTTGTTCATGGAAATAAAAGGGTGTATTCAAAGATTACGTTCCCGTGCTTGCATACAAGGGTATAAAGACATTCTCGCGTAAATATTTGCAAAGGATTTTTATTTGCAAATGGGCGACAAGTTGAAGTATTTCACTCATTGTCAAAGTTTCAGGACCAGATTACAGCAGTATGCAAACAACGAATTAACCCTATTTTACTCTTGACAGAAGCTGACATATTGTTGTTTCCACAGGTGTGTTCATTAATCTATTTGTCCCTTCTCATGCGAAATAATAAGTACCTTAACAAAGTCATGCATTTTTTTATAGAAATAACACCTTTTTCTTTAGGTCTAAAGGTACTAAAGTTCATGTCATAAAAGGTTCTAACGATTCCCCATTATTGTATTTTGATGCAAGCAATGTTATACTAAATTTTTGCTCAAATAATTTTATCATACTTGTAGTGTTGTATATCAATCCAATTTATTAGCTGATCTAACTTATATACACATGATTATTATAATTAGCATAAATACATATATTACATACTACATTCCTCCTCTTCTTTAGAATTACTATAAGTCCTACCTATATTAATCGTTTCTCTCTTTTTTTTTTTCGAAGTTTGAAGTTTAAACCAGAAAAATACTATACATTCAAATATACTATAATTCAAATTGTTTAATAATCAATTAATAAGTAACTTATCAATTGTCATGTCCGCTTATCTTTCACACATAGTCTCTATATTTATTATTCATGGTTGCCTTTCTCACTCTACTGGATCGTCTTAATGGCTGCCTTTGCATTCCCGTCTGCGGTACCTCATCTGATTTCTCTTTGCTTTCTTCTTCTTGAACTTCTTCATCCGATTGAACTAATTCATCGTCACCTATCTCAAATTCGAGATCTCGATATTCCCGAAGCTTCTTCATCTTTGATGCATCTCTCGTAACAACATGACCCCATTGGCTCCGAGCTGTTATCATTGAACCATTAACTTTAATTACTATATACTTCTCACTTCGAAATGGGGCGGTAAGCTTGTTTCTTTTTTTCTGCGGAACCAATACGGCATCTCCAACTTTCACTTCATGTTCTTTTACGTATCGCTTGCTATCAGCATACGACTTCATCATTTGCTTCTTTCTTTGATCTTGCTGTCGTACCTCTTTGTCATGATTGTAGGGTGTAACTAACTTCATTGTAGGAACTTTCGTCTTGAAGTTTCGATTGGGAAACATTAAGTCTGCAGGGGATTTGCCTGTTGTTTGATGAGGTGTCGCCCGATAATTGCGTAAGGACACCATCAATTCCTTTCGCCAGTTTCCTTTTTCAACGATCGCTGTCTGGACAATTTTCGCTATATTCTTCATGAATCTCTCAGCTTGTCCATTTGCTTTGGGCTCTGCGGGCGTAATATTTCGTACCGTAAAACCACTTTCTGCCGCATATTCTTTGAATTCTTGTGATCTAAACGGAGGTCCATTATCCGCAGTAACTTCCGTTGGGTATCCGAATTCTGAAAAAATTCTCTCAAATTTCGGAATGACAGCTTTTGCTGATGTAGATGTCACAACTTCAATGAATGGATATCTTGAATATTTGCACACGACTAACAACAGATATTCTCTCGATGGGAGTGGGCCATAGAAGTCAGTAGCTACTTTCTCCATAACTTCATCAGGCAGTGGTGTCATCTTCAGTGGTAGTCTTGAGGTCTGAGGCGTCACAACTTGGCATGCCATGCATCCACGAACAGTCCTTTCAGTTAAGGCATCCATCCCTGGGAACCACACTCTGCTTCTTAAGTAACTCTTGGTCTTTGTTATACCCTGATGACCTTCGTGCGCTGCATCAACAACTCTCTTTTGTAAGCTTCCAGGTATGACCAATCTTTCACCTCTCAATAACAATCCATCTATAACTGAGAGCTCAGGAAATACCATAGCATATGGTTGCAATTCCTGGTCCTTACCAAGCAACCGCTTCATTTATAGCTTGAATAACTTTTTGCAATAGCTCATCCTCTCGTGTTTCACCTTTCACTTCTTCTACCGTAGTTGCTTTCAGTTTCTTCTGCTCAATTACCATGTTGACATAAGCCTCTACTTCGTCATCAGTTGCAGGTATAGACATATCAGGGTGTCTTGATCCCCAATCTGCTGGATTGCTCTTCCCAGGTCGATATTGTACTACAAACTGAAATCCCATTAGCTTGATGCGCATTCTTTCAACTCGCAATGGCGCATTCTTCAATGGGTTATTAAGCAGACTAACCAATGGTTGATGATCCGTGATTAAGCGAAAACTGCATCCAATGAGATAGTGTTGATTCTTCACCACTGCCCAAGTTGCTGCCAAACATTCTATTTGAATTTGTGAGTAGCGTTTTTCAACTTCAGTACAAGCTCTACTAGAATATGCTACCGGTCGAAATTCTTTCGTCACAGGATCTCTCTGAGCCAAAATTGCTCCAAGTCCATTTTGCGAGCCATCAACTACCAATTCCGTTTCTCTACCAGGCACATAATATGCGAGTGTCGTCTCATTTGATAGACATTCCTTCAATTCTTCAAATGCACTCTGATGTTCAGAGGTCCATCTATATTCTTTATCCACCACTAGCTCTCTCAGCTTTGCGGTCTTCTCAGAAAATCCAGGAATAAATGGAGAACTGTACCCTGCCATGCCCAAGAATGACCTCATTTCACTTGCATTTTGTGGTGGCTGTGCATTCTTCAACGTTGCAACTTTACATGGATCTGGTTTCATACCATGTCCCGAGAACACGTATCCATAGTAGGTAACTTCTGACAGGTTGAATTCACATTTCTCTCGCCCCAGTCGGATATCTCGTTCTCTGCATCTTTTCAACGTGTCTTCTACATTAGCGTCATGCTCTTCTTCATCCTTCCCATATATCAATATGTCATCACTTATATTTAAGACCCCATTCAGTCCTTCCAAAGCCTCGCTTATTTCCTTCTGAAACGTTTCAGCAGCAGACTTCGTTCCATAGTTCATACGTGTAAATCTTCTTGGTCCACGGGGTGTGTGATGTGTCGTAATTTTTCTGCTATCTGGATGCAGAACCATGTTCAAATATCCTCTATGAATATCAAGCTTGCTGAATCGTGTGGCGCCAGCTTTCTGGAGTTTTCGACGAACTTCCAAGATAGTTGGAATATGGCACTTCGTTGTCAGAATTGCCTTATTTGGACACCTCATATCCACACTAGGTCTAACTTCCATGTCTTCAATGCTCTGTCCTGGCTTGAGTTTCTTTGCTGTTACCACTAGATTAGACAACCACGTAGTTGGTTCCTCTTCAGGAATTCTTTCAATTATGGGTCCTGTTTCTGTTATTTGCTTATCTTCCCACTTGTCCAATTCCTTTATCAGCTTGTCTTCTAGATGAATTGGTGGTGGTCGATATGGTTGCGCCACTGGTTTTACCGATAAATCAACCTGTATCTTGACATACTTTATCTTTCCGTTCTTGTCTTTCAAAGTTCCGACTCCTTGGAATCGATCATCAAACTTTGCAATAACGTCCTGAAGTTTAGCGCTTGCACCTCCTGTTTGACCTTTGGACTTCAAACTTGATCTCTCTATTTGCGCTTTATGGTCTGAGCTTGGCCCTTCCATAACTTCACATACTGATCCTCTGTTTATGTTAAATGTTATAATTCCTAACCTCTCAGCTACCGCTTTACTCAGTAGAGAACTTTTCTTTTGCCGCTCTGGAGTATCAACACGTAAATTGTTTCTTGTACTTGCTTATCTTGATATTCTATCATTGCTTTAAATTTCCCGATTACTTTTAGTGTATCATTGGAACCATATGGCGTTAACTTTACCTCAGTACACTTAAGAGGATTTTCTTTGTCCATACTGAACTTAAAGTATTCTTGTTTAGTCATAATCATGCTACTGGAACCAGTGTCAATAACAAAGTTAATTAATTGCCCATTAACTTGGACAGTTACTCTTTCATGCGAGCCACCCTGTAGTTCATAAATATGACCAACTACCCCTTCACTATCTGAATCTGACTCACAAGCTCTCCATGTTGCCCTAACAAATTTAGTTTTTACATCTTGGTTTTGACAACATCGAGCGAAATGATTTTTCTTTAGACACTTGCGGCATTCTTTGCCAAAAGCAGGACAACTTGCTAATCCCTTGGGGTGAGGCCAGTCGAAGCCACAGAATTTGCATTTCTTACATGTACTTGAATCAAACATTGCTTTCTGATTTTTCTCGAGCTCATACCGTGAGCTATATTTTCCATAACGACCCTTAATGGCAAAAATCGGCTCATCTTTTGTCACTATTTCACGACCCGCCGTGTCCGTATTACCAATCATTTCTCTGTCATGTTGTTTCATGCTTTCTCTGCTACGGCCTCTAGCTAAAATATCGTCAAGGTTGGGTACCCCACTTCGAGATAAACAATATTCACGAATATTCACATTCGTTGTCCCTCTCGTAATAGTTACTCCCGTCATTAAGTCATTTAGACTATACTTATCTTGTATAACTTGCCAGTTTATCCGTTGATGCTTCTTCCTAACTCTCATCGCAAAGTCATCGATTCCTTCACGTTCATCTTGCTTCATGTCCATAGCTTGCGATATTAAGAAAATCAACGCCTCGTCACGCAACAGATCTTCTTTGAGCTTGTCTATTAACGTTTCATAATCAGTTCCCGTGTTTGTTAATGTCCCCGCCTTGTTTCTTACTTCAGCTCCTGCGATGGCCAGGAAAGCTTTACGTTTCTTAACCTTTCCATCATTTCCTTCTGGCCAATCTACTAGCTCAAATTTGGCTTCGACATCTTCAAGCCATTCGAGGAATCTAGGCCCTCTGTCATCTACTGGAATCCATTGAAAAGGACTTATCCAATTCATTCGAAATAACTCTTCCATGTTTCCTCGTCGCCAAATGTAGTGTTGTATATCAATCCAATTTATTAGCTGATCTAACTTATATACAAATGATTATTATAATTAGCATAAATACATATATTACATACTACAATACTCTAGTTAAATGATCAGAAATGAAAGTAACATATCCCACAGGTTAATTTATATGCTTGTTGACAGACAAAAATAAGTATTGTGCGCATTTTTCTCAGCATGCCCACTAACTTTTTTATGAAGTTTGAACAATATGGATAGTTTTAAGCCATGTTTCGGAGAGAGGCACTTGTAAAAATTTTAAAATATTTTTATATATGTGCCACAGCATCACATAATTTCGCAAAGCAAGTATGCCATATTAAAGTTTGCGGTTAGATTCTTAAAACTTACGAAATCAATAGGACTTTTCATAATTCATAACAACCAATACTTGGACATATTAAAATCACTTTTGCAGCAATTTTTACATCATAACAAGCTCATACAGAAGGAAGTTCGTAAGTATGTTACCACATGGCATTTTCAGAGCATAACTGGTGGTTTGTGAAATTACAACATCTAGAGCATTTTTTCCATGAGTGGCTAATGTTTCAATAAAACAAAACATGATTTAACTTTCATAAAATATACTTTATAACTGAAGGCAAAGGTCAGTTTTCACGAAATCGAAAGAGGAAAGGTGTTATTTCTATAGAAAAATGCATGTTAAGGTACTTATTTATTTTGCGTGAGAAGGGAAAAATAGATTAATGAACACACCTGTGGAAACAACAATATGTCCGCTTCTGTCAAGAGTAAAATAGGGTTAATTCGTTGTTTGCATACCGCTGTAACCTGGTCCTGAAACTTTGACAATGAGTGAAATACTTCAACTTGTTGCCCATTTGCAAATAAAAATTCTTCGCAAATATTTACGCGAGAATGTCGTTATACCCTTGTATGCAAGCACGGGAACGTAATCTTTGAATACACCCTTTTATTTCCATGAACAAACCAGTAAAAAAAGGAGAAAAAGCTCCTCAAAATACATGTTTTTGGCGTTCGAAGAATTAAAATTCTTCTTGAAGAAATGCGCCCGCAATTTTTAGACAGCGACAACAAAATGCCCAGCTGTTATGTTTGACAAGAACTCGGTTCCTGAGTCCCAGGCCCCGAACACGACGGAAATTTAGGCAAATCGTCATGTTTAGATGTAAATATTTCCGAAACTATTTAACTATATCAAAAAGGGTTGTAGAACTTATAAACTAATTTTTCAAGCCCTATTCAAATCCGTAAAGATCCCACAAGTGATATAGGCACTTTAAGTCTCTTTTCCACTCATCGCAAAATACACTCGCAAAACGCTAGCATGATATAATTAAACATAATTCACCGTTATCGCAATGTTTTCCTTCGTAACACTTCAAACACCAACAAGTAAACTGTTCAGCTCGAGGATCCCAAACCATGGTTCCGCCATTACGACATTCATTTACTTCCTTCCCGCACGCCAGCTTAAAAAAAATTCAAGACACATAAATGTCATTATGGAAAATACCTATTTTTTTCTGTAGTAAAAGATTTGAAAATTCCACGGTGAAAAGTGGAATCAAGCCATCGGTGAAAATAAGTGCTCGTTGCAAATACTTAAGGTGTAATACTAAAATTAGAAATATTGAAATAAATTATGTTGAAGTAGAAATGTATGATTGTTCTGATTCAGTGGCGTAGCCAGAACGATAATTGGGGGGGCCAATATTCATATATTCGTGATACGCAGGTTTAATTTCTTTTCAAATCAATTGTCTTTACAGTCTGTTAACATGAATATATGAATATGGGCCCCCCCAATTATCGATGCTGGCTACGCCACTGTTCTGATTCTAGTTCACAGCAGAGGCATTCACGAGCTAAGTTTGTTCAGCAGTTGTTCCGGAGTTTCTCGGATACACGTCCAAAAAGAAATTATTTTTCGCACAATGGTACCGAAGTTAATTTGAGTATATTGCGGCAAAAACTCTCCCTCTCCTCTACCAAAAAACTAAGCTCTAAAACGACTGAAGCATACTTGGCACACTGATGCCTGTCCTGGGAACTAGACTCTAAAAAACAGATATTAATAATTATGTTAAGATATTTCGATATTTTCAGTTTATAAATTTGCAAATTGGTGGTGTACCACCTTAATAGACCTTTCTTATATATTATGACTTTCAACGCACACGTGTAGTTGATTGGCTCGTTAGTTTTACGGAGAGCCAATCATACTCCGTGGAACATCAGGCCCTCCGCGTTTGACGTCATTACAAGAAATCTGTATTTATAGATGATTGTACGAAAGGCTTATAGACACAGTATTTATGATAAGGACGGTCATGGAATTTCAAAGTTTTTAATATATTTCCCTTTTTAATTTTTTTGCCATCTCTTTTGCCATATATATTTATATCACTGAGTGAGACATACATAAAAAAATTGGTATATATTAGTGATTGATTAGTGATTCAGCTTTTAGAATATATACAGGGGTAATTTCAATATAGTATTCTTACAAAATGACTTCTGTCAACGTTAATCTTGTAAAAGCTCCACTCTCGCTCTTCTTTGATACCTCCGTGTTCCTCAAAGTCATGCTCAGTTGTGTTGGTCAGCTGACAGTTGGACTCTTCATCGACTTTTTTCTTATAATTATACGCAACACAAAAACGGTTTACAGCGCACTGAAGTTCACAAAATATATCCATTTCTTCTGTAAACTGATCCATGATATTAGTTCTTAAGCGAGATACGCCTAAATGCAAAAACAATTATTTGTGTAAGCAGTGGGAAATCACTCGATATTTTCATGTGTTTGTAATTACGGTAACCAATGGAAAGGTGAAGTGGTACCTAACACAGATCACTAGTCCTGTTTCGTGCTAGCTACTTTCTATACTTTAAACTTTAAAACTTGAAATATACTTTAAATCCTGCTGGGGTCAACGAAAACATCATGCAACAGCTGTTATATTTTATTCACACTGGTAAAATATCAGCTGTGTGTGTGAACCCCAATTTTTAGTTAACTAAAAATTAAGTCGCTACTGTTTTAAGCCGCGTTGAAAATTTCCGAAGGCTGATATTGAACGACCCGCATGATTTTATTAAATAAAGGTAAAAAATATAGATGTTTCTCATGTTCTTCAGCCTAAAATTTATAAATAAATAATGATATGGTTTGTATTTTGACTCATATACAATAACATATTTTTTTGGAAAGAAGAATGTGCGAAAATTTTAGGTCATGAGGCCCACACTACTATTCATATATATAGGTCGCGGCATGTTTTAGCCAAGGGGAAAGTGTTATTTACTCGGATATGCTCCAACTTCTCAAGATAAGGATCTTCAATGTCCTCGACACAATTTGGGATGACTAAATGATTAATATAAACAACATAAAAAGGACATACCACGTCGTATAACAGGATATGTTTGCGCAGAGATGTGGCTCATCATAAGCATTAATATTAAAAAGTGGATTGACATCGTTAGCTATCTCACAAAAATTCTTTATATTTTCAGAACGCGATATAATTGTATTTTTTAACAATCAGTGTACATCAGACCCCTGGGTTTGAAAGCAAATGAATTATATTGCACCTGATTTGCATCTGTAATTAATTAAAGTTGTTGGGGACAAATTAAATTATCCATAATTATAGTTAATACAACAAAGAATTGAATAATTATAAATTATGTACACGTGTGGGAGGTATTCAATTTAGTCATGTTGATATTATTGGCATAGGGAAAATCGGCTAGATATTTGCGAATATCTCAAAGTAAGAGAAGATAATGAAAATCTTGAGAGAGACCTAACAATTAACCACAATTTTAAAATTGATGTTCGTATTTAAAATTCTTTCTTCGGATGTGAGATTGTCCGACTGTTCTCTTTCCACATTTATCTCCGTGACCGAAAATGACAACTGCGTGGATCCGATGCATTAGATATAACCAGAACAATTGCGGCTGTATAATATGATCGCAACGTGCAACAACTGGTTTTAATTAAGCCTAGACTGCTTAATTGGGGGGGATGGTATATTGATATATTCATGTTTATATACCGTAGGAGCAATAGCGTACAAAAGAAATCAGTCGCGCATAAGACGAATACATGAATATATACCCCCCCCCCCCAATTAAGCTTCTGGCTACGGCCCGATTTAAGCCAGCCCGCACACGAGAGCTATCGCGGCTGAGCTAAGGCATAGGTTAAGGCGATTCTCCATTACCTCCACTCTGCCCGCGCGGGCGAAGCGCGCTTTGTTTTTCAGGCCGGTCACGGTCGCATGGACAGAATTTTAAAAGCCGCTTCGCCCGCGCGGGTGAAGCGGGCGTTAATGGAGAATCGCCTTTATACGCGTGGCATTTTCTTCGCGGTTGAATGCAATTTAAACAATTGATAATGAGATGATAAACCTAATTAAGCTTCATTGTCATCTCATACTCAATTGTTTGAATTGCATTCGACGCAACCAATTTATGCGACGTATAAACTAGGCCTAAAAGACACTCGTGAACAAGTTTCCTTACTCCCTAGTGTGCGGGAGGTAAAGGGCTAAAGGCCCTTCGTGAATTGATATATAATATCTCATACAGTACACGCGTCGTCAGGCGATAACCGTTTTATAGAGTAGCTACCTTCGCAAGTGATTGAATTACTTAATGAATTCAATAAAATAACTCATAATTGAATACAATTTGATGAATTTCAAAAACTCTATGAGATATAGAGAATGGAAATACTGGAAGCTGATAGGCCGAGTGAAGCTAGATATTCTCTAATTAATGGAACACGTGCGGGCATTTATGCAATTGATGATTTAGGGCCTCCACAGACTAGGGAGTTAGTTGCCGACAACTATTTGTGATCGACAACTAAATAAGTCCGATAAAAGATTCCACACACTGGCGCTCAAATACTGATTTAGCAACCGAAATAAAGCGGAGATTAAAATTAGTCGAAAACTAAAACAAAAGTTTTCACACACTAGAAAAACGCCAAAAAATGAGGCCCCTTTTCGAAAAAGGAAACTGCTTAGTTGCCGACAACCTGCGCGACAGACTACGCTTTTTAGTTGTCGATAATTATTTTAGTTGTCGATCACAAATAGTTGTCGACAACTAAATCCCTATGCAATTCCGGTACAGTGTAAACATGGCCTCAAGGTATTAATTCACCTTCTCAAACTCATTAATAATTCAAATACACCAATCACAAACACACATTTCATCACGTGCATGAGTTGTGAAACCCCGGTAATAAACCAAAAATTGAATTAACAATTAAGAACTTAGATAATAAACGCTTACACAGAAAAAAAGAGTGCATTACAACATTTCTTAATTATAAAAACAGCCAGAACAATGAAAGCTGTATTATTACCACAATTCTTAATTAACTATGCAAAAGTCAACACGGAGACCATTAAAGTATGCTAACAAATTTTAACAACGCAAAATTACACACACACATTACACTTTTTCCACAACAAACTTCACATCGCACATTCCACAATAATAGACTATTGTTTCGCCTGAGAAGTTATTTCATAAACTCGTGACTCGTGTTTTACCGGGGTTTCCAAACACTTGAGAATAATTGAATTCACTCGACTGTTCACCGCGCGATTTTTATTGTTCTCTCGAGTATGTAAAACACTCAAGACAATAAAAACCACTCGGCCGTACCGGCCTCGTGTTTTCATTGCCTTTCGTGTTTTACAAACTCTCGAGAACAATAAAAATCGCTTGGTGAACAGTCTTGTGAATTCAATTATTCTCACGTGTTTGGAAACCCCGGTAAAACACTCGCACTCGTTTATGAAATATTACATGCAAAATTTAAGAATATTAATGCTAATCAAATTTTTGTTGTACACACAAATGCAAATGATAATTTAACTTTAAACTACCTTATTTTGAGACACCCTGTATAAATTGATCACTTCATTTATGATGTTGTATATTGTGTACTGTACAACTTACCACTTGCCACTTGCCACTTGCCCGACCAAAGTACTTGTTGCATTAGCCAATCCACATAGCACACGAGGCTGAAAGTTCTCGGTAAGACAGCAAATGAGGCTGTCTGCTATTTATGGCCATTATAATACTCAAGATGACGGGGTAGACCAGGACGAAGAAGATTGTGAGGGCGATGAGGATGACAGCGATGATAAAGAACACATGTACGAATACCAACCAGACATCAACGATGCAAACGAACATATAAATATACTGCTGCGACGAATTAGCCTTTGGAGAATACCTGATGTCCCATAGCAATAAATTTATGTAAGCCTTAATTGTTCAATGATCCGTATATATGGCGAACGTTTGTGCAAGGCATCGGTTTATTAAAAATTATACACACAATTGACAAAACAGCTCCTATTTCTTGGCATTACAAGTTAACACAGCGCGAAACGGATATGGCCTCAGTCTATTACAAAAGGTGGTGACAATATTACAATTACACGTCGACGTACTTTCGGAATAAAAATTTATTTAATAGATAGACAAATAGCAACTTTATTTCACGAGGCTAAATACACATTATAGCCAAAAGGCTGAAAAACTTGTGGCCCTCATTAATCGTATTGCGTTTCTTACAGCATGAGCTTTAAACGAAGTGGTAGAAAAAGGTACAGATTTCAAAGGATTCTACCTTGTTTTTAGTTTAGAAGCCGATGCGTACGTCATTCTACGGCTGGCAAAACGTGGTTATTCAAAGCGATATTTCGCATTATAAAGCGAAATTTCGCAGGCAATACAGCCGATATTTCGCATTATAAAGGCCGACACAGACCGGACGCGATGCGGCAACGCGACGCGAATTTTGAGTTTTCAGAAGCACATAAATCAAATCCTGGAAGCAAAATTTGGAAACTATGGACGCTAGACCAGTCAAAATGTTTTATTGTTATGTAATCTACAAGATTATTATGATAGTTTAAAATTTATTTGATTTTGAAAAATTAAAAACGTTGAAAATTCGCGCCGCGTTGCCAATTCGCGTCCGGTCTGTGTGGGCCTTAAAGCGAAATTTCGCAGGCAATACAGCCGATATTTCGCATTATAAAGCGAAACTAACAAAATTAATGCGGACGGGGAAATTGTATAAAAAGGTATGCTTTATGGCAATTTGTTTGTTTGTTTGGATCGGGAAAATGATTATTGAATGGCATGCTCTAGAAGACGATCTTGTTTTCTCACTCCTTGTGTTTACAATTTTTAATTTTCTGTTTTCTTATTTGTCGAGGGTGAAAATGTCAACAAACGTGCTGATTGGCTTACAACGAAATTTGCCTTTGTGCACAAGCGCTTGACGGGGAATTCCCTTTCTTCCTAAAACTTCCTAAGAATCCCCCGCTTTTTAGGCGGAGTTATAAAGTCTATGAGAGGCGATGATTTCATCTTAAATTCTCGCATATATATCTTTATGCAGTTCTTCGTTTAAACGTGATCGCTAAGTACTGCTTCGGCTTTAATAAATCGTGCAAAAATCGCGTATTAGCGAAAATCTCACCGTTTTCACCGGGTTTGTGTACATTTTCACTTATTATACCTTTATTTTACGGTTCATTTATTATACTATTTAGACATATTGTTATGAGCAGAACCGATGCGCAGAACGAACTTTCTGTTTGCAACATATCGCATTTCAGGATTGTTTATGAGATCTGAAAACTCAAATTGCTGCCAATTGGCTAAATAAGCTTTCTCTGTGAATTGAATTATGTTTCTTGTTCTCTTTCTAGTGAAATATATCACAGCAGAGCTCTCGCAGCCACAAACAAAAGTATTGTTTGTTGATAATTTTGCAAATCAGCAGACGGGGGTTTCCCCTATATCGATATAAAATTTCCCTATTATTACCGGAAGAGTTTCTAAACACTTACCAGTAGAAATGTATTATTTAACCCCACGATATCTTGCACTATAGCTAGTGCGTTACACCTTCTTTACGATTAACAACCAAAATATCACACTCTACGTATGACTTGGAAAACAAACTGAAAAACTTTGTCGCAAAAAGCTACAAAATGAGTTGCATAACGCTGCTATTGAAAGCAGCTATCTGACGATCGAGGTTTAATCTAAAAATGGAACAGCAGAGATGCTAAAGGAAAACAGGTTCGTGTCAATAGTGCCGGAACAGCTAGGGAATTGTAACATCTAATGACTTTATAGCAATTAACCTATGTCCGTCCGTATTGTATACATCTACAATAGTGGCTTTGCCAAATTTTCTATATTTAACTGCCCGACCGAGCATCTTTAAAATTTCAAGGCCTATTGAATGCTAGCTATAACACTGTAGTCTTTCAGCCTCACAGGCTCTTTACTAGGCCGAACCTCCCCCCCGCATCAGGAGAATGTGCGGAAACGAGATGCATTCAGTAATATTATTTAATACTTGCCACTGCACAGGTTGCATGTATTTTGGAGGGAACCATATCGGGGGGGGGGGAGTAGGCCCAGCTAAAGTCGCAAGGGGGGACATTTATAGCTTAGATTTTTGCCGGAGACAAATCTTAAGCAACCTTATTTGCAAGCTTGTCGAATGTCGAGGTAACGAATACCATTCGCCGTATTGTTTTATTTCGGGGGGGGGGGACTCCTGCACCTTGCTTATAAATTGAACACAAACCAACTTGCTTTCTCCAGGTTATTTTTGGTCTTGGACCAATATGAATCACATCTCCATCGTCACAATACCTGTCGTTGTAATGGTCAGCAATCCTACTTTGTAATCCATAAAATCCTTCATGTAAAAACCATGTATTTTTTCTACGCATTGCTTTCAAGAGTTTCAAACGATAACTTTCCAACATACGATTGTAGTAGAGTTACGATATCATGATAATAGAAACGCTAATTAACGTTATATAGTTTCAAATCGTCGACCCCGTACGGCCGTACCAGTTGTTAGGGCACCATTTGCAGAGGGTAACCTAGAAGGGGGAGGGGGGCAGGAGTGCAAAGAGGGAAGCTCGCGTATCATTTTACACGCCGCTTTGAAAATCAGTTATGTACATAGTTCAAGAATACTGAATAGGCTACCGCGTGTAAAGAAATTTTCAAATAATAATAATAATTTCCCCTGTGAAATAAATAAGTGAATGCCCTAGCTACTCCCCTTGCGGTTGCTGTTTGCTATTCCTAAATATGTTTTTAGATTAAGTAATTGTGTTGTCTTTATAATATTTTACAGCTCTGGCCTGGAATTGCTGTCTTTTCCTTATATTTTTCTCCTGGTGTTTTTATGCGACGTAACAGGAAGTTGAACAAATCAGGAAGTAATAAACTTTACTTATTTAAAATAAACTAAATTAAATACTGTTTATCTGGCATATTTGAACAGACGCATAGGTTGCAGATTTCAGTTTTTAACAAACTTTTATTATTATTTAAAATCTCGATCACTCACTTGTACCTGCATGCAATGCGGTCGGATAATGAGGACATGTATAATGCATGTTTTGAATATACAGGAAATATAATACTTTTGTCAGAGATTTCCTCTAGCCACGCAGCTATTTCGCGTCACGACACAATAAATCGTTATATATAGTGGCCGAGTTACAAGCTAGGTGTTAAGCCAATATTGCAAAATTGCATATTCCATTATGATGCCGATTACCCAAATGTTGTCCAACTTTGTGCGTTCATTGATCATAACGATGGGGGAGGGTGAAGATGTCTTAAAAACAGTCCGAGATCTTAGTCTTAGATCTTAGTCTTAGATCTTAAATATTCAATATGTAGATCTCCCCCACTGTCCGTTGTCAATACCTTTTCCATACAATTTTATAATATAACATTTATAGTACGCGCGGGCTGATTGGTCAAGAAGCGTGTTTCTATAACTGTATAGAAACACGGGACTTTCCCCCAGAACTTGACAAGCGAATCGCTGTAATGAGAATTTGTAATTGAATCAATTTATAATATTTGTACAAAATCTTTTTATTGAGTTATGCATATTATAAAAGAAATAGACAAATCTTTTTCCCTGCATGTGTTTCTGTATAGTTATAGAAACACTTGTGGGAGTTTGGGAGAACTCGAAATTACGTGGGAAAAACTCGCCCTACGAGCTCGTTTTCCCACTGATTATTATTCGTTCTCCCAAACTCCCACAAGTGTTTCTATAACTGTAATAGAAATAATCAACAATATCTAAAATCCAAAAACACTGCATTAGTCTGCATGATCATATAATCATGCTTTCAGGTTGCATTTATACGCATGGTTGGTAACCTAGTTAGAAAAGAATATTACCAAATAATGTAATATTGTAATATAATATGGTTTCAAATGCTGAGTATGATGAGGAAAATACTCGAAATAACCGTATCATTTTTAATGTTTATATAGTTGATAATACTTGCAATCATGCCAGGAGTAAATATCAAAGATGATGATCGTAAGAGAATTGATCCTAAACTCATGTGCTCTTCGTGTAATCTGCTGCTGACAAGACCCATGCAGACTACTTGTGGACACTTAATTTGTTCATCCTGTGTTGACACACTGCTGGAGTATGTAAATTTCTTTCTTGATTTTGATGCTGCGTGTGGCTTGTGACATTATTTGACGGCGAATAAATCGTTTGCTGTAAGGCGATGCCCATGCATAAATCGAAACAATTACGTACGCTGCTATTCCAAAGCTCCTCAACGTAGGCCTTTATAAGGATTTATTTCTGGAAGGATTTATCTTTGACCAAATTTAACTGAAGTGTTCTTTTAACATAGTGATATTGGTATCGTTTGTTGTTTTGTCATCTTAGATAGTGTTTGCTAGGTACTCTTGTTTTCAAATTGTTCATTTTTAATAAGTAGAATAAATACTGTACAAGCTTTGATTGACTGATTGGGATAAATTCTTCACCTTAAAGAAACTAGCAATAAAAAAATAAGTTTGTCTTATTTTAAAGAACTCTGGAACCTATATATTAACATTTATCTCCAATTTTTCATATCCTGCTTAGCTCTTGAAATATCTGGTTACCTTGTCTTAGATCTAATTAAAAACGTCACAACCAGGGAAAAATTATAAACGCGAGAATCTAGGTCCTTAACAACACGCTTGCTTTTTCACTCTCCGATTCATTTGAATATCCTAATTATTCATAATTATAAGGTCTGTAACAGAAACCTGAGAACCAGGAGTTTATTTTCCTTATAATTATATCATTATGTTAGGGGTTCACGCCTAATATGTCCAGAAGATGGAGTGGCAATGAAAAAGGAGGAGGTAAGTTTTTACGAATCTTGGGTTCTACGGCCTTTGCATACTTATCATAACAGGGCAATTGAGCAACGCAACTGATCCTAGTTTTCTTTCAGATATTCCCGGACACATTTAACAATCGATTGCTCGGGGATTTGCCTCTGCACTGCCCTAATACGGGATGTCTTTGGAATGGGACTTATTCCCAGCTGGACGTGAGTTTTTCAATATTAATAAAAGGTTCATGGGGAAGTTAAGAGCCAAACAAGAGAATTTTCTTTGGGGCTCGTGTAATCTTGACTGACTTGAGTGACTTTTGATATTCATTTGAAAACTTTATCACCGAAATAATAACTTAATAACGTAGAAATTATCTTTCGATAAAGAGTCATTCTGACGTCTGTGATCATGCTTGGATAAAATGTACTCGCTCTGGATGCGAGATGAAGTTAAAACGCGGAAATCTTCCCAAACATGAGAAAGATAAGTGCAAATATCGCAACGTGAAGTGTGAATATTGCCAACAAGATGTTTCATTTGCTTCTCTTAAGGTAAGATTTAAGTGTTACAGTTACCGCAAGTAAGTGGAAACAATAGGAGTCTGGGGAGAGTGAAATTTACTCAACTTAAAAAGATGCCCCCAGAACAATGAGATAAACTTTTACAATGATGTTGGCTTACAAAATTATATTAATATCCATATAAGACAAGCAAATATGCTATATATCATTGGCCTGTGAGGAACATGAGAATTAAATTTTCAGCTGTGAAAAACTGGTCAGGAACTCAGTTACCTTTGTTAATTATTGCGTGCTTAAGAGCCCCAAATGCCATCCCCCAATGCAAGTAGTCATAAGGTAGTTTTTTTTATTTAGGTTCACGTTTCTACAGTCTGTATGGGTGTGCCCGTAACCTGCAAATTCTGCAAACAAGAGGTATTGAAAAAGGATATTGAAAGTCACGAACAAGTTGTGTGTGGAGAGGTACCAGCAGAATGCGAATTCCACTCTTTGGGTTGTAAACCTGACAAGGTAATAGTTTGTTACTTTTCAAGGTTTGATCAATATGAAATAATTATTATGCGGCATCCAGGGCTAAATCACATATAACAGCAACACTGTTGGTGTAAGCCAACACTATTATTACTCTAGATTCATACGATAGGGGATTTCTAGGAAATAATGACACGTAGTTCAATGCAGCGCTCACTCATCTTACAAGATCAAGCGTTCAAACGTAAAATCCATACTGAGTATTTACTAAACGAAAGACAACTCGCTGCTCGTGAAGGTCTCAAACAATTTATATTGCTTTGTCATAATACATGCACGCTGTTTAGTTTATATGCAAAAATTATTCCACGTTTGGTTCTGAAATCGCACTCCTCTTAGTCAATGAAATTGCAGCAATTGCCAAAGATTACAGAAGATTATAATTAATGAAACAACTGTATTCCTCTGAACTAATCACATTCCAGCAATCTTCTCATAAAAACTATCTAAAAATAAAATTGAAAAAGGCAGAACGTTTTTTTCTTTAACGAATTATTTGCTTTGTTTAGGCTTTGAAACGAAGTGAACTTCCCCAGCACATGCACCACTCTTTGACGAGCCATGTTACCCAACTATTGCATTTTACTCTTGGTTTTGAAACCCAACTAAGCAGCTACGTCCCACGACAAGAACTTACTGGCACGGTTCAGAAATTCAACGATGATATCTCCGAGATTCACTCCGGCGTGGCTGAGAAATTTGACACGGAACTCGGCAAATTTACTGGAATGGAACGAAGAATTGAGAGTTTGGAAACCAGTCGTGACGGTGAAACAAGGATGGGCGATAAATTCCGTGATCTCGAGCGCAAGGTTTCTGATATTGCCAGTGAACTATGCGCTGTACGTGAACGCAATTTGATCCTGGAGAACAAATTGAAAGAAAAGAATTTGCAATTGGAACGGATGCGAAGCAGGATGGATCAAGCGGACGAGTCTCTTGCTCTTAATACGGTGAAGATTGCCGACTTGGAATCACGAGGTGGTCCACGTGCACAACAGTCTATTCACAGTCGCAACGGGACCTTGCTGTGGAAGATTGAAAATTACGAGAGGAAACGACAAGATGCCATAAATGGGGTGAAAACGTCCTTGTATAGTCCACCCTTCTACAGCGCGCAGTATGGTTATAAGATGTGCGCTAAAATCTACATGAATGGCGATGGCTTTGGAAAAGGATCTCATCTATCACTCTTTTTTGTTATCATGAAAGGTTAGTTGGATTAAAATTATTTTGGCTTATGCTTAGTTTTGCTGCAACAAGAGCTAACATAAAAACACCCCCTTTATACAAGACTAAACGTGCATGCACTTAGCTATAAAACACGTGACTCCATATACATGCACGTTTATCTGGCTATAGAGGTTTTCTTACAATACATTAGAAGCGACTAATTGCCTACGTTTCTCCTTCGATAGTCATGACTGCTTTACTTTGCAATAGATAGCTAATTTCTTTGTCATTTTTTATGCCTTTTAAAGGTGACTATGACGCCCTTCAATCTTGGCCATTTCAAAAGAAAATAACCATGATGCTCTTGGATCAAGGTAATGGAGATCACATGATTGATGCTTTCCACTCTGATCCTCAAAGTTCGTCTTTTAAATGCCCGAATTCCGAAATGAATATCGCATCAGGATCTCCATTGTTTATGCCTATCGATAGTTTGAGTAATCGTCAATATATAAAGAACGATACTCTCTTCATCAAAATCATTGTAGAATAAATATTAGCGAACTGATCCGATTTTTAATTAAAAGTAAAGACAACTTAGGTGATAACTTAAATAATTGTAATGCCTGGGTAACTAGCATTTATGCACTACTATAAAGCTAAAGGATGCTTGCCAGCATCAACTGAGTCAATTGAGTAGTTGAAATATTTGCTTATTGCCTTATCATACTGTATTTTTTAATTATTTGCAATAACTTGTATTACCGAAATACAATACGCTTTTGTGATTATCAGCTGTAAATAAAAAATCATATGTCATTTCTACCTGTCTTTTTATTGGTTTATCGTTTCTTGTTTAAACTTACTTGTAGCCAGCTTGGAAAAACTCCTGTGCATGCTTTGCGATTACCAGCTAGCTGATCCTTTTTCGTGAGATATAGGTGGGGGCGCATGTCTTCTACTGCATCGGGTTGACCATGCTTCTACTGACAACCGACATTGGTTGTACCCTGTCGTTGTCAATTTCTTTATCAGTTTGAACTTCATGTAGGACTTCTTTACATGCCAAGTTTCTTCGGTAAAATAGTCCTAGCTTGTCCTTGAAAACAGACTGTAATTTGTGATTTGTTATCAGCACGTTGAAGTTTCAACGTCGAAGTCGTTAATTTGTGATTATTTTTTTATTTGGGATATTGATGGTAGCTTGGTTTTCCATTCACGCTTGATGTGCAAATGCGATGGTGTTTTTCCAGTGGATCTACGAGAAGTGGCACTAATGTAATGCGTTTCAAGAGAACTTTTGTTGAAAGAATTCAGATGATTTAAAATGATACATTGTCGGATTTGATCTGCTTCGGATACCCGTGTTCAGAGTTGTTGTTATCAACATTGAACAATATTGTTACACCCAATTCACTTTCAACAATATTGTTCAATGTTGTTGACAAGTGTTAACAATAATGGCAGCACAACATTGTTACATGCTGATAAACCACAGGCTCAGAGTTTTTAGCCGTGTACCAAATCAGAATGCCTAATTATTTATACTTCATGTAGAACGGTAAATAATGTACCGGATATAGTAATTTCACCGGAAATAGTCAATATTAATTTTATGCATTCTGATTGGGTAGCTGAAATGTAAGCAAATTTGCTTTCAGCAAAAGCTTTCAACAAATAATTCGACTGAAACATTTCAGGGGAATTTTTGTCATTGGCCCTTTAATTAGAATATATCGTGGGAAGATCGTTTCTAAGAAGTATTCGAAGGTATGTGTATACTTAGCTTGTCGATAAAACTGTATATTCATCATAATTTGTAGAATTTGTGATTGTGATGTGTCAAATACATATATTTCGTCGACAACACGCATGAAAGTACGCACTTTTTTGCTGGTTTCATAATCATACGTAATTCGTCATAATTCAGTTCGTTATTGATATAGCTACCACCAGCATAGTGCCACCAACATTATAGTTTGTGCATGAAGCTTGTATATTGTCTTGACAGTATTTTATCACAAAATATGATAAATAGTTGAACCATGGTAGTTTAAATGAAAGCAGACCGCAGCATTGATAACAACCTGCTGCATGGAGTAGATATCGTTAATTCGCTATTTTATTTTTAAACATTTTGTGCTGTGGCGTCATTTTTATTGAAAAGTTCGCTGGAAGGTTTCCAATATGATAAAAACCAGTAATTCCAGAAAATATCCTTAAATATAATGCTAATTGCAAAAGGAAATATTATTAACGAGGAAACAGAGGGGTTTCCCCGTATGCAAATTTCCCCTTTTTGCAGAGGTGTTTTCCCTAAGACTGAAGGGTTAATTTACATATGACATATTCATCATAATTCGGGGCATAACATCATCGCAATTTGCATGTCGTAATTCGCTGTTATGCTAATTCCCACATTATACAGCAATTTTCCTGCACTCGGAAACCGCGAACACCGCGTGTTTTTTCACGTCTCCAACATGACGTTTAAGAACTATTGAACGGAAGTAACTACTTAGCATCAAATGTGGTATAACAACTGCCTAAATAGACAAAACACTTCTCGACGTTTCGACCTGAGGGCCTTCGTCTGGAGAGTTCATACTAACTCTCCTGACGAAGGCCCTCAGGTCAAAGCGTCGAGAAGTGTTTTGTCTATTTAAGCAGTTGTTATACCACATTTGATGCTAAGTTGTTTCAAGACGCTGCCACGCTGCTCCTTGGTTATATTGGAAGGTAACTAGGTGCAAAATTTAACCAATTGCAGTGCAAAATTCCAACGGTCAATGGGCGTATCTTTCGCATTTTGATGGCTAATCACACTAGTAATTTTTTTTCGCATGAACGCAATCCGTAATCCATAATCTGCTTTGGTTTTTCAGTAAAATATTCAGCTACGATAATGCCCGGCATAAAGATCACTGATGATGATCGAAAGAGCCTGGAACAGGCATTCTTCTGTACTCTGTGTAAAGATCTGCTGGCAAATCCTTTTCAGACCTACTGTGGGCATTTGATTTGTGAAACTTGTGTTCACACATTAATGGGGTATGTGAGTCTTTCCTCTGATATTGAGCTTGTTATTGTTGGCCTTTTCCTTGTTATAACATATCATGCACATGTGCATGGTCTTGCCTATAAATTGATCCAAAAAATGCATGAAACACTGCCATTGCAAGTATTCTGAATAATTGTATTGTTTCTATTCAATTCAGTTGTTCTAACCCAAAATGCCCAGAGGATGGAAAACAACTCAAGAAGGAAGAAGTAAGTTTCCCGATCACTATATTTCTTTACTCCAAAAGTTTGTTTGCATGACAGTCATATATAACGATATAGGCTACTCTAACTATGTTGAACAAATTTTTTCTTGAATTTGATAGCTCGAGTTCATTTTAATAAATAGAGGATTTTACTTATATCACTGCATGGGAATGAAATAAGTCGAATTTTTCTATTAAATATTCACGAATTTCTAAAACGTGCAAAAGTTTATTTTGTTCGCGTAATTTTTGCGCATCCATAAATGATACAGTCTCCTGAATTCAAAATCCAAATATTCGAAGTGGTGCATGCATTAAGTGAGGAGATAATCTCTTTCAGCTGTTTCCGGATTATTTTATTCAACGCAAGCTGCAAGAGTTGATCTTTCACTGTCTCGATGCTAGCTGTGGCTGGTCTGGATGTTATAATAAACTTCAAGTGAGTTTAATAAAACTGAAAATATAGAAATATTAAGCATACATGGAGGAAATGAAAAACCAAGAGGGAGGGGATGCTTTTTATTGCAAATGCAATTAGCGCATAGCCTCATACGTTAAGCCCACCGCACACGAGAGCTTTCAGCTGAGCTAAAGACCTCGCATGGCTGTTAGCCCTTTTTGCGAGGAATTCGCCTCAGGCTTAGCTAACTGCCTCGCGAGGTCCTTAGCTCAGCTGATAGCTCTCGTGTGCGGCGGGCTTAATTAGGGTCCCTAATAACTCTCGTGCGCGTCAAGCTTTATACGAGGGGGGGGGGAGGAACTTCTGCATAGTTTACGTAAAAACTAATGTAAGCATAATTAGCAGCAATCAGTGTCAGTGATGTTTTAGAATTATACCAAAATTAGGCGAGCCGATTACTTGTTTATTATTAGCATAATAAATCGTATAACTAGCTTCGTGGCGCTTTACCGCGAATTTTTCGGGCGTACCTCTCATTGCAAAACGATAGTTTCTTGTGAGAATACAGTCCCGCTTCTATCCAGACTTCTATCCATTATTTTTTACGTACTTTAGGTAGAATTTTCGTTTACCGTGAACCTTTTTTTATTTTCCCCAGGGTGTTTAGTTTCGATGCAAAAAAACTTTCAGCAATTTTGTTTTATTTTGGCAAAATCATTAATTGTACTGCAATGCAATTAATGACGGAAATAATTGTGATCCTCTCAACCAGTCAGAATTCAGTGACTTTAGTACGCTAATAATAATTTCATAAAACTTTGGTACGGTAGTTGCTTTCACTGCAAAATAACATATTATTCACCTTTGTTTCGTGCCACCACGCAATGCCGGTGTGACATGAGATACGATATTTTAGAAACACAATAATATATATATAACATTATATTCATTATATATTAGATAACTGAAACTCTTATTTCAAGTGTAAATTACGGTTATAAAATCGTCCCAAAAACCAGGGCAAATTTAAGTATTTTAGATCAGTTGCGCTGATCGTCAAGCTGGCTATTTGTATATCATTGTATGTATGATTATATAATATTATTTAGGATCATACAAGTACAATGTGTGAGAGTGTTCTTGCAATTTGCAAATTCGAATCATCGAGAAGGGATATTGAGCGACAAAAGGTTGTGTGTGAAGTGATCACAGGAGAATACGATTTTTTTTCTATGGACAACGATGAGGTGATGACTGCTATATTTTAGCGTGACCAATTTTTCGTCATCCTAATTTCAGTGTCTTATAGTGCACGAGAGAAAAGCTTAGTTATTACCTTATAGAATTGGCAGTGCGAGTTGTGTGATCAATAGATTAACGCCAAATTTTCGCAGGCAACGAAGGCTTGAGGAAGTTTTTCATGAAAGTTGCTGGTTTTCGTTGTTTTTATTCAAAGAAACGGTGTATATATAGAGCGTTGAAATATATTTAATATACACAGGCAACACGGGCGCCACTGCACAAATGGTGTAGCATGCATTATCCCCGAGCCGGTGCGGAGCACCGTGCGAGGGTACTAATTCCGCTCGGATATTTACACCCACGATATGCAAATGCCAAATCAAAGTCGTCCGCCATTATGCAATGGACCTCACGCAATGGACGGTCTTCTACGTTTTGCGCATGCGCCCGTGTTAACTACTAAGCTCTTGATTGGTCGAGACAAAAATTTGTATTTTCAAACGTGAATGAATGACTGTCATTTGGCAAAATTTTTATGAAATTTACAAATTTCATGTTTTTATAAATATGGAATATATGTATTTTTACTAAATTAGAGGGAAACTCGAATGAGGTCAGGACTTCTCACGGTTTAACAAATAACAAGACCAAATTTTCGACCGAATTCACCGTGAATGATAAAGTCGGAAGATTTTACACTTGATAATATTTCATCCGGCACAGCTTTAAAAAGTAATTATTTTGTGGTAAACACAACTTTAATATTCTCAAATGTATTTCACTATAAATATGAATGTGTTATGTGATAAACGACATTATAATTTTATTTATAAACTCCGTTTTCATAATGAAAAAAGAAAACAAAATCAAAACACTCCCGTACAAAAACCAGTCGAAGCGTTGTATGAGACTTCTGATGTTATATTTCATGGTATTTAATAATTAAAATAATTTACCATAACACTGGCTATAGATGAGTGACTTAACTTCCAGAAAATGGTACGAATCTTGTCGTATTTTTGCCATTTTTTCACAAAAATATGAAGGTAAATTTTGATTCTTTTTAAAAATCACTGAGCTATTTAATAATTCCTGGAGGACCGGCTCCTGTCAAAAAAGTGAAGCCACTAAAAGATGGCGGATTTTGAGCTTTGCTGACGCCACTTGGTTCCTTTTGCTCATGGTAGTTACCACTGACATACCGCGATACACAGTGAAAAACTGTGTCCATCACCCTCCCGATTTTTATGAAAATATTTTCAGCTTTCCGTATATATTTTTTTGTTTTTCATATAAAAAGGATAAAAGTGTTTCTCTTTTTCCCTGTTCAACAAATGAAAAGGACACGTAACTTCGTGCTCTGCGTCTGACGTTGTGAATGGCTTAATTCACTTATCGGTAGAGTGAATTTTCTCATTTTGCTCTTATTTTATAACATCCAGGTAACTGACGTAAGCCGTTTTTCAACTTTTTTTTATTATATATAATTTCGTTTTTGGCCTTTCGAGTTTGAACTATATTATAAACTGATTACCAAAGCCTCTGAGACAATAAATCCATCAAAACGTGTGGTACAAACAGCAAAGATACTATTTTCGCCTTTTGGTACATTATAGTGCTGTCAATGCAATGTTAAATACCAAATTTTATCATTTTTTTCTTAACTTGTGTGGGGAAAAAATTAAATTCCTGGCAGTGTCAATCTTTTGAGTTTGGTCTATGTTGTTTTCATGATAGCAAATATCAATGTTAATAGGTAAACCATTCCCCCAGTGAGTCTACTATAGTCACACTTCTATTGATGCCACCCAACATCAATTAACATGATCTGAGCTGATGGTGCTGATATACAGAATGATAAGATGCTGTAAACAGTGTAAATTAATTCCAACCTCTGATAGTGAGCCCTGTTAAAGCCTAGTTAATATATTATATTTTTTACCTTATCAAATTCAAAGTGAAATGATCAATTATCACAGCTTTTAATTTATTTTTTAGCTTCTTGCACCTTGTGAATAAATCTTGATCATATCTCCATTTTTATTTTTCAGGATGAAGTTCATGCATTTTATGACTGTGCATTGTTATTCTTCCTTACTATGTTATCTGATTTTGTTGTTGGCTGGTGTTTTTATACCTTTTGTCATATTTATTAATGAATGAAATAAAAATAGACATGCATTGACTGAGCTGTGTCTTCAATCTGCAGCAACTTTTATAACTTTCTGTTTATGGTATCAACCTCCAAGAGGGCTATATTCATTAGGCTAATCAGTGGAGCCTATGGAGGGATAAATGTTATTCTTTACTATGACCAGGGGTCCAGGGATGCAATTAGAGAATGCTGAAAACTTTTATAGCCTATTAAGGTACAAGTTGATGACTTGAATAAAAAGAAAATTATGCAAATATGATTCTTGGTTGAAGTTATATTCCTGCACTTAGTATTAGTCAGCTGCCCAGCATTTTGCCTGAACTTTGGATTTTGGATTGTGCATAGATATAAAGTCTTGAAGACAACATCACATACTGAATACTGATTACATACTTCCTGCAATTCATCAGTTCAGGGTTTAGAAAAGTCAAATTGTTGCCCATAAATTCCTAGTTGTCTTCAAAATATGCGAGGATAGTGCCAAAACATTCAAACATTTGTAAACTTTCATGTTGGAAAGTATAAATAACAAAAATATTATTACGAAAATAAAATAATAAACCTGTCAGTTCGTGTCAGTATTTAAAATCTTTAGTTTGTCCACATTTTTCCATATTTTAATATATATTTGTTCCCGCACTGGCAAAAACAGCGTGTATGACTTGTATTCATCTTAAAATAAAACTTTATTGTATGTCAGGGCGAAAAATATAAAAAAAACAACCTAAAAACATTTCAAAAACAAAAAAGATTTCACGGCAAAAAAAATTATAGAAACCAGGGGGGAGAACTGGTATTTACAAAAACCAGGGGGGAGAATACTGCTGTAGCGGGCTCAGAATTGAGCCTGGTCAGTGGTAAATACCATGGTTAAAAGGAACCAAGTGGCGTCAGCAGAGCTTCTGCGCACTGCGCAGAAGGCGAAATCCGCCATATTGGTGGCTACAAAAAGATGGCGGCGAAGTTACTGAAAAATAACGAGCCGGTCCTCCAGGAATTATTATATAGCTCAGTGTTAAAAATATATACGGTCGTTGCGAGTTGCTATGACTACAGTGTTTCCACGTGCAGAAAAATATTTCCATACTTTTCTCAATTTCTATTTCTCACATACCATCAGATACCATGTACCCTCCAAAACCCTCAAACCACATAAAATTTCTAACAATCATTATCTCATTTTGTTTAACCAAGGCGAGGGATTGCTGCATGCATGTATTTCTAGTATGTATATCAAACTGAAGAGGGTTGTCATTGCTAGTGGTGTTTTGCCGCATGAATGAACATTAGAACTAATAGACTTCGAAGTTAAGTTTTTTGAATTATCTTTTGCATACTTTTATGAATTACGCAGACACGGAACGGTACCTTGGTGTGGAAGATTGAGGGCTATGAGAGGAAGCGAGAGGATGCCATCAATGGAAGAAAGACCATATTGTACAGTCCACACTTCTACAGCGCTCAGTTTGGCTACAAAATGTGCGCAAAAATCTACTTTAACGGCAATGGATTAGGGAAAATGTCTCATTTATCGTTGTTTATTGTTGTGATGCGAGGTTAGTTAAACTTTAATGATTTTACTTCGTGTTTACGCCTTCATAGTTATGGTATAGGAACTGCATGAAGGGTTCACCACAGTTCTCTCACCTGAAGCAATGAAACCAGAAAATAGTAATGAGACGATTAATTACGAGGGCGTAGAAAGCATCCAGAGATTGGTTGGGGAGGGCCTCCAGCTTCCTGGAGCACTTTTGATTGCGAAAGCTGCAAGGACACCACTATATAGTGCGGTTTATATTTATGCTGTACAATAAGATTGGGGCACGTGTAGGTGGGCATACGTAGGAAATAAAAAAAGCACCTTCGATCTTAAAAGAATATTTTTGGGGCACGTGCCTGCTGTGCCCCCTCCCCCGATGCCTACGCCACTGATTGATTGAATTATATTATTTAATTTATTTTAATAGAACATGCGCAGCCGTCGGAGAATGTTTCTACCACTTTTAAGATTCAGTAACTTATGCGATTCTGTACAAAATATCAACACATTCAAATGGTGTTGGTTTCCTAAAAAATACCTTCGATTTATTCTCGCGAGAGTTCAAAAAGGGCAGGATAAGTAAAAACCGACTTCCTTTTTTTGTTTTCTTGTCAGACTTTATAGGCTACATAAATGATAAATCAGCCCTTCTAAGTTAGAATTAAATAGTGATTTGTCTAATTTATCTGCTTGTGTTTTTAAGTACTTACGTGATATTTTTTAATGCATTTTTTGTGGATATTAATTTAAGGTGAGCACGACGAACGCCAATCTTGGCCATTTGAGAAAAAAATTACTCTGATGTTAATGAATCAAGGTGATGGTGATCACGTCGTTGATACATTTCATGCTGATCCAGAAAGCTCATCATTTCAACGTCCTGAGTCTGATATGAATGTTGGATCAGGATATCCATTGTTCATGCCTATTGATTGTTTAAAGCATCGTCAACATGTAAAGAAAGATGTGATGATCATCAAGATCATCGTGGAATAGCTGTGAATTGGGGAGTGTATTAAAATAGTCGACCTTTTGAAATTAACCTAGCTGAAATTAACTAAGCTGCATTTTATGCCCCTTAAGGCTGGTTTTCTTTATCTCACCGACATTTATTGATGAATGAAATATTTTGCCATATTGAAAACAGTTTTTCGTCTTCAGTCAGCAACAATTCATCGGTTAGACTGGATAAAGTCCGGTTCTCATGCATGCAGTAGATCACTGATAGTCAGTGATGCCTATCGTCGGTGATTACTGCATGAATATATGATGAGAACCAGGTTTAATCAACAAAGCTTCATTTCAATTAGCCTTAAGCACCAACTATACGTTCATTGTACCGCGTGAACGCACGTTGAGCCAAAAAACGTATAACAATTAGGTTAATTTCACAAGGTCTACTATAAATTGATACACTCTCTGGCTATAATACCTATATCCTTCAAAAAAGGCCTATTCTTAAAACTTAGGTTAGCCAAAAGTATTTTGATTTAATGGCTAGCGCTTGCCAGACAAATTCCAAGTTAGAATTTCAAAGACTAGCCTTTTTAGGGTGTCCCCCCAAACTATTGAAATAAACTATTGTTAGATTTTGAATGCTCTGAACTCACGAGTGGACAAATCATTATTTTCATTTACACCCGACAAAAAAACTAAAATCTACGGGCGTGTATTCTAAACCTAATCAAATTTTTCCTTGCTTTTAAATTCAAAGCTATATGAACAAATTTTATTTAATAATCTTAATATCAATAAGAAATTTACTAAAAAAAGCCAGGGCATTTAAATTCTAACAATAGGCGAATTCAATAGTTTTGGGTTCTTTGGGACATCCTGTATATCAAAATTAAGAGAGCAACGAATGATGGGTAACTCGACACATATTGTTCTATACAGAAGGAAATTTTCTCCGCCACACTGATAGGCCGATGAAAAGCATTGACGTGATGTAAAATTACCGGCTTTTAAACAAGTTAAATCATCCTGCTGTCAGGCCTAATTGAAGTATAATCAGCTATCAGCCATCGTTAGTTACCCATTATTTGTTCTAGCGCCATTTAAAAACATTTTGAAGGATACAACGAACTTGATTTGAATCGCTTTATGACTGCCTTATAAAAGGCATGAAACTTTGTAGCGATTGTAGACTTATTGTTTTACTTTTAACTTAATTAAAGCTAGATTTACGTATTATTAGCATGCAGGATATTGTAAATTTGTACGTACATAATGATGGTTTAATTTGGGATATATTTTAAATGACATAATGTGCAAAAGTTTTAAGTCATACCCACTGAGTTATAATATAACTCATACCCACTGAGTTATAATATAACTCAGTGGTCACACCTGCATCATGACCTCATTATTACAGTTAATATATATATAGTTAATACAAAATGTGTTTGCAAGCAAACACAGTAATCCAATAAAATAATTTAACATATAAACACTTGAAATATCTGAAACTTCTGAAAGGCAAACACAACATTTAGACAAAGTTGTGATCATTAGGGTGTGACCCACTAAACGTCTGTGCATTATTGTTGTATAATTACAATATTATTATATTACCATATAATTTTTACTGCATATACTATTCATATTCTACATTCTTGTGTTATGAGAAGTGATTTTTTTGTTAAAGTTTGGTTACAGCAATTATTCATGGTAATATGGATACATAGGTATTCGACCAAAACCAAACAGTCTGTTTTTTTGGACATTTTACACCCTCTGCCTCTGGCTTGGTCCAAGATGTAAATTTAGATTTCTTACATGCAAGCAGACTATTTTTAAGAATTAGTATGATTGGCTTTTGTCAGTCAAAATAAGTTGTCGTTGAAATAGCCATCACAGAAATTACTGCTATTTATTTCTATGCTTTATATGATTTTCTAATTGAGTTGTGAAGTGGATTTTATTCAAATTTCAACACTGAACACCTTCACATTCATTACTATGTATACTTTTGCATCAATACTGCACACCTTCACATTCAATACTATATGTTACTTAATATTATAGTGCAATATATTACATGCAAGTCTAAAAGCCTGCCTTATCACTATATAGGGCCAGGGCTTCAATTTTGTGCTACAATCCTGGTCAAAACATTGACGACATTCTGTGTTAATTGACACTACAGTCAGCAGTCGCGGGGTTTATTTCAAAATTCTCCCCCTTTCCATCACAAACATTGACTAGGGGGGCAGGGGGGGAAACGAAACAGAAATATTATGTTTTGCGTATAGAAGAACAAACCTTTCAGAGTGTAGTCGATGGTTTTGGCCATGCAGGATTGTAGCTTAGAAAGCATTACAGTTAGGAAAGATCTTTAGAACTTAGTATTTTATATATTTTCAAATTAAGTGACATTTGTTATTTTTTAGTTCTAAATATTACCTGCATGGTTTATAATTATGTGCAGTATACTATACTGATATGATGCAGTATGCGATTTGAAAAAGGGAATGAAGCATACCTCACAATTCAATTAAGAATTTAATCATTTATATCTTCGAGATAATTTATATGATTGTATCTAAAATAAAATTTTAATAACCTTCCCATCAAAAGACAATCTTGTCATTAACAATAATTAGGAGTCGACAACCTTTTTATAAATAATACATCCACGGATCCACCCGATTAAGAAAATAATTAACTTTATATAACCACTTAAATACTTATTTTTCTAAATAAAAACTGTTATTAAAAACAATTTAAGGACCTGGTCATTCTTGGTAATAAAAACTGATATTTTTTTAAGGTGAATTAAAGTACCAAAATTTCGGCCAATTTACAAAATTTGTGTACGTTTTTCCAGCGCTTTCCTTTGAGTTCAGCATTATTTTTATTATGAAACTATAGTTTTATTATTCAACTTTAACCTACGGTAGGCATTTAGCAGTCGACGGGCCGTTTTACTATAGTAATTTGTGTTTTAATTTGTGAACATGTTGAAAATTGAGGCGAGAGTTTCCATCCTTCCCAATAATGTAGTAAGTTACGTCGCTAGTTGCATAGTCAAATCGCAGCGCCACTGGAGCACGCTACATACATGGTTCTAACAGTAGTTTTGTAGTGAAAATGACATTCTTTAATTTATTTTAACACATATCTCAAGTGTTTTATTTTTTAGTTTGTCCAGTGACCACTGACTGAGCCTGCTGGCTCAGGCCCAGCCCCAGCCTTGTTCCCTGGCGCTTTTAATAAAATATAGCAGATTCATCGCGCGCTCGCTCAGTTTAGCGCGCTCGCTCAGTTTAGCCATTTTATTAAAAGCGGCTGGGAACGAGGCTGGCCCAGCCCAATTTCCTTTCTAATACTTCCGTTAAATTCTTTAAATTTCTGCACCAAATATAACTTTTCAAAAACTTTAATTTGACACAAAACCCAAAGTCTGGCGTATTTCGTCTCAAGACTCTGAAAAAATATTTTGACTTCAAGCTGAATAGGGATGTTTTTCAGGAGTTATCGTTCCAGTTGTATAGAGTTCACTCGTCGCCTGCCTGGCATGGTCACATGTCACATATGGTACCCACTACGCATGTTCTTACTTCAGAACCAAGAAATTACATTTCTTTAATAGCTTGTTTATTGGAAATTTTGTCTAAAATCCATCAGCTTGAGAAGCCATCAGCTAATATTGAGTAAGTATCTATAGTGCATGTTATATTTAGCTATTTCTTTTAATAATCTATTCCCAAAATATACAAGAAAACGTCTGTATTGTTGCAATAGAATACGATCAATACGACTTGAATTGAATGCAACTTGTTGAATGGTTCCTAAAGTCTAACTGATCCTTCCATTATTACTGTTACTGTATCTAGCTAGATAGAATTTACCTACATCGCATGAAATGCCAAAAATCATGATTCATGGTCTACCAATATTCCTTAGATATATACTAAGATCATTTAATACACTTTGTAGCATCAATCTCAATCAGGCTTTCAGCCAGGAACCAAAGTACTTCATCTGTAGATATTTACTGATTAATGTTTCCTCCCCAAACTCTTGTCCACAATTGTAGTAAAAGTTAACTTTTTTAACAATTTGTAATTTTCTCCTCATGAAACTTTTAAAAAATTCATGGAGACATAATCATTATTAACTTAAACTTAAAACATGGTATAACTATTTCCCCATAAGCATAATTGATAAATACATCTTCTCAGACTCCTCTGAGTGCTGGCCATCCATGGCAATGGATACAGAAGTATACAATTCTTGGAGCCATTTTGCTTGTTACAGAACCTTACACAGGTGTTAGAAATACCAGTCCTGTGTTATGCTTTTGTCTATTACCGATGTTCATTATCATATACACCATATTCTCACATATCATAGTATTGTATTTGCAAGTTACTATTTACATGAAGGTTGGAATATTATCCATGAAATGAACATTATTTCAGTGTTTTACCTAATTTCTCTTTCAAAATGGTATCAATTTTTCCAACCATAATCATCAAGATTTGAAAATATGGTGGGCTTAAAGTAATCTTATCACAATAAATACAAAAACAGTCCTGATTGGTCACAAAATAACATGCAACATCCTTTAAGTAATAGTATACCGCATACTTGTGGAGGTGACATGGCTTTAAGATGAACGACAACTGCTCTTTTGGAACAAAATACTGTATTGCTACAGTGTTAAGTGTTAGTCTAAGGTCATAACTGCACCTGGAAATGGGTACAGTATTCATGTAAGTGGATTTGAATTCTTAAATGCTAGTCAAGCTTTGAGTTATCCATCTTAGGAATTCTTAGCTACCATCTAGATTTTCATGAGTTACATGCAGTTATTTGAATTAGGATAATAGTTGCAAAATGCATACCATTGAGGTAAGCAAATGAATATATATTATAATCAAAATAGTCCTGGCCAATAGAAACTATTTAATCTATTAAATAGAACAAATGTGAAAAGTACTCTTATTCAGTTAATGAGGCAAGTCATTGGTTCTTGTGCATGATACAGTGAAGGTTTACTAATTCACTTGGCTTTGTGCATTTCTAGCAACTCTTTGAGTCATTGATGTGCTATGATAAACAATCAACATAATACGTATGACTGATACTCCATTGTTTACTGTTTGTAAAGAACTGAGGGTAGTAACCTGATAGTATTTGTGATGTCATAATTCCATATAAAACACCTTTTAATGACTGAAAGTTTAAAGTAAAAGTTGTCGATTAAGAAAGGTACTTTTATGGCAAATTTTTACCCCAGAATACAATTTTTGTAGAATTTCTCACTTCTTGATGCTATCCCCAGTTCTTTTCAAGGTGTATTTTCCCTGCACAGCTTCTGCCATAATCAGCAAATTATACAACCTCGGGTCCAGGGTCTTTTCCTACGCTCCAGGGCCCATGCTGGAACTGCATAATTATTTCGGTTCAAGGAAGTGTTCCAATTTTGCCATGTTCTTGTAATATGTATTATACATTTTGTGTGTATTTTAGTTTCTGATTGATCAGAAAGCAACGGTTAATTCTTAATATTCTGTATTTAATACGTAATTTCAGCTGCTGACGTGCTCAGCGTTTGGATCGAACTTGCATCCAAAAAAACAATTATTGGCCTCTCTCATGCCCAGACCTTGGTGCGCCAGCAACTTCAACCCAAAATAGCACGAAAATAAGATAAACATTAATAAAATAAAATAAGCATTAATGAACTTTCTTTAATCGTTTCTGATGTCTTTAAAATTAATGTAAAATAAAACAATTATTGAATTCGGCTTTTGCATGATATGCTGAGGCGGATAACAGTGACTTTGGTCTGAGCATTTCTTGATATCATGCTCAGCCTCATCCACTAATTGTTTATTATTGATCAATCGAAATACTTCCTGCTTGAATCAGGGTTATGTGTTTAACCTGGTTCTTTAGGCTAGCTTCTACTGTCCGAAGTCAATCTTGATTCTGTATTGTTGTTGCGACAAACGTCTGGTTGCTTAGCTATTGGAGGTCATGAAAATTTTGCACTATCTTTGGATCCCTGGTTAACGATTAGGACTCACCACTGTCCTGTAGAGATTTTTGCATGGGATGTATCCAGCATCTTCCAGTCTATTTTGTGATATCCTCTTTTCAGTAATCTTGAATAACGCGGAAACAAACTTACTGAGCACAAGGGTTAATTTGTTCACTAAACGTATTTCTGTATACGAAGCATAATTTCCAGCATTGTTTTCGACTCGCCCAACAAGATCGAACAAATGATAATAAAAATCTATACCTCTCTAATATCTATGGTTTCAATCATGAGACTTCTAGTTGATATTTTCAACTTTTTGTTTTTGAAAATGAAAACGATGAATTGAATGAATAAAACTTTTCCCATTACTTTCTAGTTGATCTCTCACTTGCAATCATGCCTGGTATAAAGATGACAGATGAAGATCGTAAGAATATTGATCCTAAACTTATGTGCTCTTCGTGTAATCTGCTGCTGACGAGACCCATCCAGACTACTTGTGGTCACTTAATTTGTTCATCCTGTGTTGACACACTGCTGGAGTATGTTGATTTTTTAATTTTAGTAATTCGTATAGTGATATATACAGCATGCGTAAATAGAACTAGGCATTTTATTTGGACGATATATTCGTAAACCAATCAAATCGCAGGAAATTTAACGTCACATGTATTATCCTCGTACAATAACGTAATGGCCATGGATCACCACATTCTGTGAAGCCATGCACATTCATTCGTAGAAGCCACACAGTTTTATGTTCTCTGCTCTTGATCAGGGCTACATACCTCTTCATCGTTCGCGTAGTGCACGCATTAGGGAGCTTTAGCAGGACTACGAGTACGACCACAAGTACGAGATTCGTCATTCCTCGTACTTGTGGTCGTACTCGTAGTACGAGGTCGAATCTCGTACTTGTGGTCGTACTATTGTACGAGGTTAATACATGTGACGTTAATATTTCAGCCCAGCAAATTTATCATTTTAGCCCGCAAAATACAGCGTAATGCCCGCCAAAGTTTCCAGCCAATTCTTTGCCATCTTAAACGAGTCATAACAACGTGTCAGTCATAATCGTATATTGTCAGACAACACAAATAACATATATGTATGTAGGAAAATATGTCATTAAACATTATGCTGCTATGATTTTTGCTTCACATATTTCTTTCAAACATACTCTCCAGAATTTACCGCGCTCATCTTATTTTTTTGAGTAGAGACTTTATAGGGTAATCATTCACTAATCCTCCAATTTCCTGCTTGTTTTTCAGGTGTTCTAACCCAGTTTGCCCTGAAGATGGAACAGAACTGAAAATGGATGAGGTTGGTTGGTTTGAAAACGTGTAGTTAAAAATATGGGTTTTTTATTTGTTTATAAATACATTTTTCCAGGGCAACAATTCGAAATTCGCAATTAATTCAATTTTGAAATTGTTTTTATGGGCAGTGTGCCACATGTCTTCGCTCTCCGTCCAATTCCTGTATAAAAATGCTTCATTTGTTATCCGTGCAGAGCGGCTCTTCGCTTTTCCCCCAACAACTATAACATGTGCTATCATTTCCTTTATACTCCCCACGACATTGAGAGCCAGGGGCCGGTTGTATCAAGCCCGTTTAGCTTAAACGGTGGTTAAGTTCAAAATAGAAAGCAAGTCTATCGTTTGAATTATTCAACAAGCAAACTAAATGTTTTTAACCTTAATACAAAGATACTGTCTACAACTACATAATTACATTCAGTGCATAATATTCAAGTTGACTCATTTAAGAGAGATGTAAGAGTGTTATTTAGTTTTGACTTATCCACCGTTTAAGCTAAACGGGCTTGATACAACGGCCCCAAAGGTATTTACAGGAAGAAAGATCCAGTGTGGTTTTTCAAGGTTGTGCAGGCCAGCTGCTGATAATGGGGTAGGGTATAAGGTGTATAGGGTTACCGTGCCCATTTCATTCGTGCGCGGTAGCCTTAACACTGATAAAATTCGGTACGGGTACCCATTTTAGCCGTGCCGTGCCAATAAATTGAGTGTAGTGTGAACGGGTCTTGATTGTAGTGTAAACGGCTCTTAGCTATAACAGTTTTGTATATTATTCTCTGTCAGTTATTTATTGATCGATTCACTGAACGTGAGTTGCGAGGTTTGGTCTTGCGTTGTCCTAATGAAGGATGTCATTGGCATGGTGCATATGATCAGCTTCTGGTAAGTTTGTGAATGTATGTAAATGTTAACACCCAGCCGTTTACACTTGCAATCTATGCTGCGATTTTATGTGCGATTCTCTTCTTTTGATATAAGTTAACGAGTGAATTAGTTACTGATGTTCAATTAAGAGTTCTTATACACCAGAGCATTCGTAATTAATCACTCGATCACACCTGTCAAAAGAAGAAAATTCGCAAGTAATTACGCAGCAAAAATCGCAAGTGTAAACGGACCTTCAGCTTCGCTTGATAACGACAAACTTCGGTTTGATCATTCTTGGTATCATGTTAAACCATAGAAGCCCAGACAAATGAGTCGGCCATTTGACTATACAACTAGTGACGTAAATATGTACTATATTATTGGGAAGGATGGAAACTCTCGCCTCAATTTTCAACATGTTGACAAATTAAAACACAAATTACTATAGTAAAACGGCACGTCGACTGCTAAATGCCTACCGTAGGTTTAAGTTGAATAATCAAACTATACTTTCATAATAAAAATAGTGCTGAATTCAAAGGAAAGCGCTGGAAAAACGTACACAAACTTTGTAAATTTGCCGAAATTTTCGTGAATACATGCGGGATGTAAGTACCTACCCAAAATGGCGGCTGGCAGAAGAATCTGATTGGTCGATCATTCTTTGTTTACCTTTCTCGACCAATCAGATTGGTTTATCATACTTTGTTTACCTTTCTCGACCAATCAGATTCTTCCGCCGCCGCCATTTTGGGTAGGTACTTACATCCCGCATGTATTCACGAAAATTTCGGCAAATTTACAAAGTTTGTGTACGTTTTTCCAGCGCTTTCTTTTGGATTCAGCACTATTTTTATTATGAAAGTATAGTTTGATTATTCAACTTAAACCTACGGTAGGCATTTAGCAGTCGACGTGCCGTTTCACGACGTGCAGTAATTTGTGTTTTAATTTGTCAACATGTTGAAAATTGAGGTGAGAGTTTCCATCCTTCCCAATAATATAGTAAGTTACGTCACTAGTTCTATAGTCAAGTGGCCGACTCATTTGTCTGGGCTTCCTATGGTTAAACTGCATGCAACGCAGTTAAAATGCGTTAATTATGTAGCGGTCAAGAAGCTTTAGCTTTACCAATGGACCATTCTAGCTTCATACACATGTAAGCTAGCTATATATCAGCGTTCAAAGTAGCTGCTTTGTGTGACAAAACAAAATTCATTAACAACTGTTTTAACTCCTTATCAATGAATGAACTGCTTATACTGTGTAGGCTGGTTGTAAAGAAAGTTAACTGAGAATAATTTACGAGAATTTTTAACTGTATCAATGTTTTGAACTGATATAGGATCATCTCCCGCTCTGTGACCAAGCTCAGAAAGCATGTGTCCATCATCAATGGGGGATATCATGTGGATGTCGTGATGTGAAATCTGATATCGCATCTTCCTACTCTCAGGTAGAGTCCCAGTAACTATTAACTATGTGTTTATAATTTCAGTAGGATTACCTAGGGTACCCGTGCATCATCTGTTTCTTTAGATTTTTAAACTAAATCAGGAGCATTTTGTAGGCGGTGGGTAATATTGTGAATAGTGTGATATACTGCGCACGGTACTAAGCGGTTATTTCGCTCTAGCTATAACCATTTTTCAAAAATATTTCGTATCATGACTATTAAAGATATATATAGGATCCAGAATCAGTTGGATCTTGGAGTTGAAGAAGTAAGAAGCCCAAGAAGTAAATTGGCTAAGTATTTTTCTTTTCTGCCGCGGTGAAGTACCTATATATTATGGTTGCAGATTTTGAATATATCAAGAAAATTTTTTTTTGATGGATTTATTAGCCTTTAAAGTTACTGGACATGACGTTAAATCCAGAATTTCGTGCAACTTAAACGAAAGAAAACTGATTTGCAATTCCCGATTTGATGTCATGTCCGGTAACTTTAACTTTTAATTGTTAAATGCATCAAGACATAATTTTTTAATAACAAAAATTGCAAAAGTTTTTTAATATACCTTAAACTTTTGATATATTCAAAATCAGCAATCATGGCAAAGGCTGTTAAATAGCTTAGCGCATTTAGATTTAGATTCCGTAGACTGTCGGCAGCATTTTTACTGTCGATGTTATCATTATATTCTTACCATCGCTTGGCGGAGTTGTACAAATAAACAAATAAGTTACTTATAGTGCGGACTAAAATCTAAAGTCAAAGATGTTTTAATTTAATCATCCACGGAATCTAAATGCGCACCGCTAAATTATCGTCCCGTTTTCTTAAAGTTCACTGATTGACATACAGTGACAGTTTCTTTCTAGTGTTTCCATCTGCGCTGCTTACGGAAGATCTTTCCAAAATTTCATTTTACTTTATACGAGTTAGTAAATTTCAATTCAGAATACTGTAAAACGAGTGGAAGTGGCGAATGTGCAGTATTCGACATTTTGGATCCAGGTTATTTTCTCATAAATTTTTGGAGGACACTTATTTTCCTTTTTTTATTTTACCGAAATTGTGATGCGGTGATGGATGAATTTGGATGTGGTTACTCCTGTGAAACATTGCTGTGATCTACGGAGATCTCGCTAATGATATCACAAATGGAGAAATTAACCGTATTTGCATGATGTTTGATTCCTCAAAGCTTGCGGATTGGAGATGGTACTTTTTATGAACGTACTCAACCAGAAATAAATTATGAGCAGTTTCACGGATGGATTCGTTCTCGGTCCTCATTATTCCTACTATTCAATTAAGAATGTGTCATGATTAATTTCCCTGATGGTTCTTTCTTTGTCTACATTATTCCTACTACTAGAAATACATGCATGCAAAATCCCCTCGCCTGAGGCCATAAACATATATTTCCAACAAGGTGAAATTCTATAATACTCGTTTCCGCTGAATAATCGAAGTCGTATAAGTAAAATCCTATATCAAGTACAATTATAAAGTCGACTCTCGACCTATCAAATTCAACTATAATTCAAAGAGGTGTCATACATTTGTTGATATCGTATTCCTGGGATGCCTATGATTAAACTTACAAAATACTTCCATGCTTTATATACTTAAACACTTGCAACATTTACCTGTACAAAAATGCTTCGAAATCGTAGATTTTTTACCACCCATTTGAATCAAAGTTTTTTTGTATCCGAAGGCATCTTTTACATCCTCTTTTTTTAAGTGCTCCTGGCAGAAAAATTAGTTTTACATTTTTAGAATCTTTATTAGCAGTTTATATTCTGTTCAAAAACTGAATTGCAATTGCGACTTTAGTTTAGAGTTACTACCACAACATAGCATTTGGCAAAAAAAAAACGCACAAAAGGGATTGGTACAAAATCATTGAGGTGACGTCACAATAGGAACCGCGGTTTCACTCATTTAAATTTCAAGCGTGTATTAATCACATGTTGTTGTAAGAAAGGTGACGACGCAAAAAAGTCACGCAAGAAAACATGCCGAATAGATGTTTTGTCGGGGGTTGCTCTAATACCTCTAATGCCAACAAAGGAATTTCCCTTCATTTTATATTTTTTCTGGCGACGAAAGGCCAGAAACAAAAAAGAGACGAAAGCAGTGGATTGATTTCGTGTGGTTAAAGCGGGCAAAATGGGATCCGACTCCCAATGCGAGTAATTGTTCAGCGCATTTTGACAAGAAAGATTTACCACAAATGTTTTCTGGTTTCTCTGGTGAAGTACCGCGGTTAGCCACCGATGAAATTGACGTAGTCGCAGCCCCTAAGTATCACGCAGTAACTGCAGAGACAGAGGTCAAACCTTCGTCTGCGAGAGCTAGGAGAATGGTAAGTTCGTTCGTATCGTTAATTGTTAATTGTAAATAATCATTTTTATGGTTGCTGTTTCTTAAACGCAGTGCAATTTTCTTTTGTCGTCTACTTGAATACATACATATACGATTATATGCCGCTTTATATGTAAATATTTATCACATTGCAAAGGTTGTAAAAGAAGCGTTGTCTGTTAATGTTACCGCCCAAGGCGAAGAGCCGCATTAACCTTGCCGCGAAGTAGGAAGCAGACCCATTTGAACACACAATGGAAAATATTGGAGAACAACTGCCAAAAAACGCATCTCCGAACAAAGTACGTATAAAGTTTGAACAAACAAATATTTCGGTGTAACATTTGCGGGCACCAAACACTAATTGACAGGCACCCCATTGTGTCTATACATTTTTGTTTTTTGCTTATTGCTTTAGACAAACAGCGTTTCAACTGGGACAGACGGTTGTGTTCGTTGTGCGTATTTAAACGGAAGACTTGGAACAAGTATATAGCGCTTAAAAGCAAATACGATGAATTGGTGAAAGTTAAACATTCCAAAGGTAGCGTGTTTTTATGTTTGGTGCTTTACATATGTGCTGCAGAGAAAACCCATGTTTCATACTGCATGCGCACTGCTTTAATTCATTATGCAAACGTACTACAACGGCGAAATGTAGCAAGTCTAGATATAATGTTAATAATCTCAATAAAACGCATTATTTTGTGACGGTATATTAAATTAAAAATATTCTAATGAAATAGACCATCTACAATTATCCCCGAGCGGGCGCGGAGCGTCTGCGAGGGTAATAATTCCGCACGGAGGTTAGGAATTACACCCGGAACCCGGGAGTACATAGGCATAGCGGGATCCAAAGTTGTCCAAATTCTTTGTCATGGACGGTAGACGTTGGGTGGTTTTGTAAGTTATGCGCATGCGCGAGTAACGACTGGTAATCAACAACGCTCTGATTGGCTAAGACAGAAAGTTTCTAGTTCAATGAGAATGTCAGAAGCCGGTTGTATAAAAACGTAGTTAGCGCTAACTGCAGGTAAAAAGTAGTTAGAAATAGTTAACTTTAATCACGTAGTTAAGCCGGTTGCATAAAAGTGTAGTTAGCCTTAACTGCAGTTAAAAAGTAGTTAAAGTTAACTATCCTCAAGGGCATCGTTAACTTTCCAAATCGTAGTTAAAAATGGCGTCTTGAGCTTTCGAGGAGTGAGAAAACATTAAAATCAACACATACCATGGTTGTCAACCGTTATCCATTCAGAAAAGGTCCCGTCGAAGCTTGTAAACTTTCAATATGCTTTTATTTTTTTTTCATTTAAGCAGCAACGGAGTATATTTTTGCTTCGGGAGATTTGTCGATGCCAAATTACGATCCTAGCCAAGATTAGCCATCTCCATTTTCAACTGCAACCGGTAGTTTGACTCCAAGGGACCTTTTTATATTAAGAGCGCCTTTTTCGTTGAATTATTTGAATTTTTTCCTTGTTTTATTGCATTTTTCCTAATATTTTAGATCAAAATACTGTCAATTTTTGTAAATACGAGTCCACTGTCTTGTTCAAAATCAATAACAGCGGTGAATAATTTCGAGATGCTTCATGCTATTTCTCTGTTTAACAACCCCACCCAAGTTAACTGTATACGTGATTAGTTAATCATCGGACAAGCTACGTTTTGTGCAACGCAGTTTAGGGCCTGTATATATCATCCCGCCTAGCCGGGACGGGACAGTTTCCGAGATCCCGCTTGTACAAAATGAACTCCATATAAACACGCCATCCCGCCTAGGCGAGTTTCCCGGCTAAGCGGGATGAAAACATCCCGTCCCGGCTAGACGGGATCATATAAACAGGCCCTAAGTCGTGTAGTTAACTAATCATAGTTAAGGATTTAACTACAGTGATTAGCGCTTATCATAGTTAAAGTTTTTATACAACCGGCCCCGGCAATTTAACTGTCCTTTTTGTACAAATGCATAAACCTGTGCAAGGCTATTATTACACCTTTGCTTTAACTCCAAAAAATGTTTTTTAAAGTATAATTTGAATTTTGATATCAAAAATATACACTATAAGTATAAAACTTTTAGCCGTCGACTGCAAGATTTTGTACTGTTTTAATCCTTTGAAACTTCTATTTTAAACCATTTTTATTTAATCACTGCCATATTTTATGTACACTAGCTTTATGATTATTTTTGTATTGAATGATGGCAACATTAGCTATAATATACTCGGTAAATATAATAAGACTGATTTGAGTTCTGTGTGATTTCATAAATATAAGTTTAGGTCAGGTTAGGTCAGGAGATTGTGTACTTGGTTTGAAATAGCGAGGGGTTGCTGCATGCATGTATTTCTGGTAGTAGGGAATAATTCCCTATGTAAATAAAGGATGTATAGGTTTTTCCTGCGCACTGCGAGTTTTAGTGATCTATTCATCATCAAGTGCAAACGTTCCAATTTATGTAGGTGTTCAGTGCAATATACTAAATGTGGAAGAACCAAGCCGTGCTGAAATGCTCCTTACACTTCCCGAACCGGGCAGTGAAGAGACAGGAGATGATATGGGCACCAGCGACGAGGATTTCCAATGCGGAGATGAAAGTGAGTCTAATCAGAATTAGGAGACGAAGGCACAAGGTATATTTTTAATACTCAATAGAGTTCACAGACTGAATTTTTTTGGCTTGCAGACTTGCTTAGTACAAAGTTGGAGTATTCTATGATTTTGCATTGGTTGTATAGTGATATACTTATAAATCTTCTCACGTTTAGTAATCCCACTGAGAACCTACGCTAGCAACCTAAATACATCATTTTCCTGTAACAGTTGCTGTTGCTGTTTAAGTTTTGCCATTATGCAAAGCAGATAACTCTCTTGTTGAAACCACGACGAATGGAACCCTGCTAAATTGTGAGGACAACTTGTGACAATCCCGTTTGTAGCAAAAAAAACAACATATGGAGAAGTCAACCACTGATGCCTACGACAAAAGTAAACGCTTGCGATTTCCTGCTAAGTTTAGCTATTCTTGTATCTCCCACAAGTGCATGTTTCGACACATGGGACTTGTTGGAATGTGCAATGAATCTTACTATGGACACCAAAGGGTATGTATATATATATATATATATAATAAATAAATAAATAATATTATATATATATATATATATATATATATATATGTATATATATATATATATATATATATATATATATATATATATATATATATATATATCAAATATGTATTTAGAATCATATATGAGTATAGTGCTCGATATACCAAAGTATAGAGCTAGTATAAAGATAAAATAAAATAAACTTGGTTTACTTCATGAGATTTTATTTCATAAGATTTTATTCATAAGATTTTAAAGATAAAGACATAAGATTTTATTCATAAGATCCCAGAGCAAATTGAGGTTTAACCTCCACTATACCAGTTGTTATTTTTCTTTTAAGAAAATATTGTTTTCAACAAAATATTGTTTTCAACAATCTTTCTTCACTGGGAAGATTACCGAAGTAAGATTCTGGATTGGTTACAAGCATTGGAATCTTTGGTTATTTCTGGTGATGGACGGCATAATAGCATGGGGCATATAGTGCAAAATATGGTGCTTACACAATATTTTGCTGTACGTCTGCTGAAATAATTGATTTTAGTTCGATCCAGGTAATAGCTATAGCTATCAATTAAAAGAAACTTTATGTTCTCTTTTTTGTTCATAATTATAATCGACGCGAAATTATTATAGAGAAATGAAGTTGGATTATTGGAAGCAGCCCTGCGATGGAATTTAAATGGTTCCAAAGATGTTTGAACTTTCTCCTAGATGTAAACCTGGGCATTTCCACCTTTATCTCAGACAGACATCAAACAATATCGAAAAACATGAGAGAGAAACTACCAAAGATAACACATTATTTCGACATATGGCACTTAAAAAAGAGTAAGTATCTATTATTTGCAGCAGTTTTGTTTATAAATACACATCATAATAAGTACACTGCACTATTGTTTTACTCAACCTATGTATTTTTCACTTCAAGAGCTGCATAAGGTCTTTACTAAGCTGGCTAAAGAGGCAGATTGTGAAGAACTGGCAGAATTAATGGATACAACCCTGTATAAACCACCTTTACTGGAGTGCCACATCCACTTACTCAAGAGATGGCAGGATTATACTGGCAAGGTTAATTCCTTGGTCATATTGTTGACAAACATGATGGGTTTGATGATGTGTTCAATGTGTTCATGGTGAACTGACTCCGAGAAATGGATTCTACCTGGTATGTATTGTAAAAATGGCTTTTTGCTAATACCGCCCAGTTGTTATATTAATGTAATACAATTTCTTTCACAATAAACTATAGATTCTCCAGCCTACACAAAACTAAGTGGTGCTATGCTAAAGACGTCCTTTGGTAAGGGCATTGAACAAGCTTTACCATTAGACCAAACTAGTTGTTTGGAAGCTTTCCACTCTGTTGTCAATCAGTTCTCCCCAAAAATTGAATGCTTATTCATTTGCTGGTATATACTGCAGGTAGGTTTTACTCTGTTAATAATAAACTAACAGCAACTGATTTGGTTAGCTTATTATTTTGATTAAAATCTCCACACCATTTAGACACATCCTAACAGCAATCCATTTTAATGCCAACTTATGTCGTAAGACAAAACTCTATGAAGATGGTACACCACAGGTCAAGGTTTCTTATCCGAAGTTAAGGGTGGTGATGCCACTGTTAAAGAAAGCAAAGTAAAACAAAACTTTGGTAAGGAAGTTAAAAGAATGAATGGTGCAATGAGCATTAATTAAGTATGACTGATGTGTGTTATTGTCTCAATCAATAAATCTTTGTCATTAGAATATGTGGAAGAGATATAGTCAGACCTTTCTAAAAGCATCGGGAGATAGCTCATTGAAAAAGCTTGGGAAAACACCTGCCCCCATGAATATCGTGTTTGAAAACAAAGAATCCAAAGAAACTGCCATCAAAAAACAGAAGGCAAGAAAAAATCTTGTTGTGGAAGATGTTCCTCCAACAACACCAAGTATGTAAAGTATAATATTTATTGGCCACAATAATAACTCATTAGTTAAGTTAAAATAGTAATAAATAACTTTCTCAGTTTCAGTTGTTATTGCTCAAGAATAGGCAGCAAAGGCTGCTAAAGCAACCTCTGGCAGAGCAGCTTCAAGGTGTTTCTTGTGCAAGAATTTGATGAAAGGACACAAAGAAGTAAAGGATTGTCCCAAAAATCAAAAGCAAACACAGCAGTAAAACGAAATCAGTTGAAGAATAAATGTACATATAGTTTTCTGAAATAATATATAATGTGGAGTATTATAACATAGCTATAGCATTAGTAATATATATATACACAAATTGTCAAGATCTATCCTCTTCTTCTACAAATCCTACAAAGTCTTCATTGTCTGTAGTTAGGAAATGACGTCTTATTCTTTCATATGCACGCGCACACTATTTCCCTGTTTCCCAGATGCCAAAAACGACCACACAAAACTTTTGTAGGCTGTGCTTCGATAGAATCTACAAATAATAGAGCATGTTTAATGGTACCAACATGTCAGTACAGTGTGATTGTGCATTTAAATTTCATGTGTATAATGTACTTACTTATCTTCTGTGCTTGTTTGGCGGTATTGTTCTTTCTTCCTTGTGCGTAATTTGGTTGCCGTTAAACGAAGCAACCACTTGTCTAAGCATGCGCTGTTAAATTAACCCAGGAAGGTCGACAATGCAAGATGGAGGGTTTTCCGTTTCCAGCTGCTGCAATGCAAGCTCGCTATTTAGCGCTTCTTCACACTCTTCGATTTCTACGCAACACTGACATCTTTAGCATTGTGAAGGAGTTCAATAGGACAGTTGCCACACTTATACCTGGAATAAAATCTGTACCGACAAAGCAAAGACAGTTAACACGCAAATATAAAAGCGGGGAAAATATACCTTCTTTTCTTTGATACCATCAATTAGGTCTCGGGTGAAATTCCTTTAAACGCTCGTCATAAGTTTTCTTTTTTTTCCAGGGAGTTAGCGAGCGACTCTGTCAGCCGCCGGTTCATTTGCATACGAACCAAGTTCTGATGTTTCGTCTGTAGTTTGGTCGTCTATATTCGCTGCCGCTTCGCTCTGTTTCTTTATTATGTATGAATGAAATATAATATATATATATATATATATATTATATTATATATATATAATATATATATATATATATATATATATATATATATATACACTGTTATTTTGAGGGAGTTATTTTAACTCCTAAAATAGGAGTTACGGAAAAAGGTACAGAACAACTCACTTTTTGGAGTTAAAAGTAACTCCAGATTTGGAGTAAAATATTAACTCCGTTTTTGCAGTCAGAATAACTATCATTTAGGGGTTAAAATGTAACTCTTAAAAAGGAGTTAAGCAGTGGTAACTCCACTATCGGAGTTATATTATTTCTACTTTCAGAGTTCTGATGCAAATTGTGTTTGTGTATTGGATTATTAAACTAAAAACATTAAAGCCAAAGGTTCTCGTAGTGTCATATTGGTAAATTTATCTCACAAAATTTCTTATTATCAATTCACATGCATTTGTATAATATTGTGAGTTGTATATTTGAAAAGACAGATCAATACAAAAGCTCTGAATTGCTATATTAATTGTCTGAAAGGATCACCTTTTCATAGCCCACTTTTAAATAATTCTAACATCAGTTGTTGCTTTTAACCTCAATATTACTCTTCCTATACCCTTAATTATAAATTACTTCTGAAAGACTTTGATTACTGTAAATTTTAAAGTGATAAAATGACCTATTTAATATTGATTTTTGCATCCGGCCCGCTTGAAATGCATCCGGCCCGGTGTGAAATGTGAATAAAACGGCCAAACCAAAGCAACGTAAGGCTAAAATGTGTAAAAACCTTTCCGGAAAAGGCTAAAAGTATGTTAGAAATAAAAAACATACCCGAAAAACGTCTTAGTTTGGATTTTTTACTCCTTTTTTCGCTGCATTTTACGTTGTTTTTCTAGTCGATTTGCCCGAATTTGCCGTGATTTAGTTGCTATGGTAACAATATCTGCCATTTCATTGGCTGTTTCCCGACTAGGATATCCTTTTAAGGAGTTGTTGACGTATTAAAATTCTGAAATGGCTTGTAGCCTTGTAGATTGCAGAAATTATAGTTTTTATATAGTTATTTGCTAATTTTTTTGCTTTTTTTGTGTTTCATGAAGTCAATAATGTAAAGGTAAAAAAATAAACACGTTGTATACCGCAGCTTCAGCCCGGAGGCAAAAATCTGTGCTCTCGGTCTCGAAAACTTCCCTCGGCCAACGGCAAAGGTTAAAAAATAAACACATTATATTTTACCGGCAGCTTCGGCCCGGATACAAAAAACTGTGCCGACGGTCTCGAAAACGGAAATAACGACCTCACAGCCAGAAATAACATATATAATCAATAGATCATCGTCAGCCCTGCTATTTTTCCCTATTTTATGGGGGGAATGGCTTTGATATACAGATGAACAGAACAGCCTTATAAACTTGAACTTAAAAGTTAAATGCCGTAGGAAGAAACTTTATACATCGGGATGAAGAAAGCGATATAAGTTAAAATATAGGGTTTAGAAGTCAAATTACATTAGTGGCACAAACATTCGTAATTTTTACAAGCCTTTTCCGCCTTTTTCACTCCAGAGTTAAATCAATTCACGTTTATAAGACTAAAATTTATAATAAACTATTAACCCGCTCCTCTTGTGCACGCCATTTTGAATTTTATTTAACTCCAAAAAGAGAGTTGAATTTTTATCACCCCCAAAAAAGGGTAATAGGTGAGTCAAAATAACTCATAAAAGAGGGTTAGATTGCTTAACTCCCCCAAAAGGAGTTAATTCTGCATAGTTAATAAGGTCTAAAAATTATTAACCCCTCAAAGAGAGTTATTTTTACTCCAAAACTATAGTTAAATTTTTAACTCCACTAAAAAAGGATAATGGGAGAGTTAAAATAACTCCCTGAAAATAACAGTGTATATATATATATATATATTTATATATATATATATATATATATATATATATATATATATATATAATTATATTATATAATATAAACATGCATACATAATTTTCGCATGCTTCCTGGGCTGCTTATGGTTCAATCTCAAATATATAGTTCTAAACTATATTTGTCTGTCCTGTCTATAATGTCTATGTATGAGGCGAATGCCCAAACCGGATCCTACTGTGACGTATTAGTTACGAGTTTTCCGGCTTCGCGGTTTTGAAAAACTTTTGCCGTTAAGATTAAAAAATATTTAAATTTCATTACCCTATAACTCAGCGAAAAAAACCTCAAATTCAATTACGATTTCTATTTTCATTATCTACGTTTCACGAAGATTCTAAAAATGTAAAATTCATTTTTCTGCCAGGAACACTTTAATCAATTTTACGAGTCAATTTTTCGTATATTTTCAAGACCGTCCAAATGAAAAATATTATTTTAAAAAAGTTCTACCGGGTGTCCCAAAAAAAACTTTACCTCTTTGTCTTAATATAACTCAAAAACGAATAAAAGTCATTAAATTGAAATAAACTCCACTGCATGCAAGCAGGGCTAACTTAGATTTTGATATATAACACTAAATTATTGATGCGATATTTACGGAGATACAAGCATTTGATGTCGCAAGGTACTTTCAAAATCTGTGCAAAATTGACAAAAATCGGCTATTAAATTAATTCGAAACTAATACTTTAACTTTTACGTTTTTAACTTTAGTGATTTTAACTTTAAATGTACGCTTTTCCATTGCAAACTTACTCTTATATAAGAGCGAACAATTAAAGTTAAAATCGCTGAAGTTAAAAACTTACCACGGGAAGTGGCATGCAAGTATTTTCGAATTAATTTAATAGCCGATTTTTGTCAATTTTTCACGGATTTTGAAAGTAACTTGCGACGTCAAATGCTTGTATCTCCGTAAATATCACATCAATAATTTAATGTTATATATCAAAATCTAAGTTAGCCCTGCTTGTATACAGTGGAGTTTATTTCAACTCAATAGCTTTTATCGTTTTTGAGTTATATTAAGCCAAACAGGTAAAGTTTTTTTTGGGACACCCGGTATAATTCAAAATATCAGTTATGCTGATATGACCAAAATTTTAATTTAGCCAATTGCACGTTTGCAAACGTTTGCTAGTTACCAGTTTCAACTCGTCTTAAACTCACGCATGCGCATAACTTACAAAAACGCCCGACGTCCATGAAATAATGGCGGACAACTTCGATTTCGCATTTGCATTCCCGGGCGGAATTAGTACCCTCGCGGCTCGGGGATTAAGGCAAAATGACCGATACCTTGAATGGATCGTCGTCATTCCCAGTTCTTCGTTATGATGATTTACCTTTTTTCATGTTTTTCTCAACAAAAAATATGTTAATATTTTATATTAAGTTTTATTTTAAATTAAACGACCAAAGACGATCCAGCCTCCTCTATTTAAATAATTAACTAATTATCTCTTTATCTAAAGCTATATCACGTGAATGTGAACAAAAATTTTATATCCAACCCTGGAACAAAACATTTTATACCCAACCATAAGTAATCTATAGTTTTACGTATCTTTTAATAATAAATATTGTGTATTACTTTTAAATTAAATTTTGTAATTGAAAACAAATTGCTGGCAGTATTAACATGCACAAGTGACTTTCATTATCTTTCAATACAAATATATACAAGGCTTTCTGTTCCGCTCCTGAAATCTGAAGTACTCATAATTTACGAACAATAAATGAAACAGCCCTACTGAGTTCCCTCGAGTGTTCTTCACACAATGTAAATTCATGGTAAGATGATATAATATTTAAGGTACAATGGTGGCCAGTCACGTTCTTTCAAGCTCCGATATAAATGTTTTAGTGTAAATAATATCGATCAGAACGGTATTCAACCATTCACTGATGGCAACCTGCCAACCTGTTACTTCACGATGGAAACAAACGTAAATGGTTAAAGGACTTTGATTCTCAAGAATTTCCTTGAAATCACCGTTGGTCACTTGGTCTAAGCGGTAAGGTCTGGCGGGAAGACCAGAAAGTTCACTTGTGATAATGCCGTGGTGGTTACGTGGTTCCGGGCAAGCAAAATTAATTTCTGTTTTAAGGAGATGGTGAGTTAGTCAAAAATCATTTGATAAGGCTTTTAGACTCAATGGCAGCTGCAAGAAAAATATTGGAGGCATTTCTGAAAACTGATATTGCTACAATGAAAAATCGAATTCACCCAATAAACAACGTTGAGTCGATTAACACGATTATGGATTCCGTGAGTAAGATTATATCGAGCCCGATGGGGACGACCATAATCTTATAACTATAGATTGGAATCTATGCTGAATGAATTTGCTATGATTTTGGATGAAAAAAGTAAAGGAATCTCTCGTTATATTATGTTTACGCTGTATGATAGCCATAGGAGATCAAATAGCGGAAATATTTCTTAGCAGTAGAATTTTTGGATGAAAACGTTTTAGAAGTCGCCGAGTCTCTACCGCAATATATTTATGCGACCGCGGATTGGAAAGGGCAGTTTGACATAAACAAGGTGCCAAAAACACTTATGCTCACTAAATTGGATTGGATTAATTGCCTACATGATAAAAGAATATAACATTGTTATGCCAAAAACAATTAATTGTGATAATTTCAGATGTTCTGAACAATAGACCTTTTTCATAATGATGTCAAACGCGGAAAGTCTCATGTTACACGAAGTTTGATTGGCTGGATAGTTTTGTGGAGCCAATTAAATTTCGTGTAACATCAGACTTTCCACGTTTGACGTCATTATAAGAAAGGTCTATTGCCAAAAGTTGTTTACAATTAAAGAAAATTTAGATTGTGTCCCTGTATTTTCCATCCGACTACTTTATTTACATACGCACGAAACTTTTTTAACAAAAAGCAGGTTTCCAAAAGAGATGTGCACTACTTCATACAATCTATATAGAGTCGTGCTTTCATTGCTGTTTCGTATGAATACATAATGAAAGTCATAACTTTTTTGTCAAACTTTCGAATAAA